GAGGTGATTCAGGACCAGACACTGCAGCTGAAGCGCTGGGCCGAGCACTACTCTGAGCTATACGTCAGGGACAATGTGGTCACCGAAGACGCCCTGAGCGCCATTGAGTGCCTGCCTGTGTTAATGGAGCTCAATAGCGAACCGACCCTCGAGGAACTCAGTGAGGCCCTAGACTCCCTTGCTTCTGGCAAAGCTCCTGGCAAAGACGGCATTCCTGCTGAGACCTTAAAGTGCTGCAGAGGTAACCTGCTCATGGAGCTGCATGAAATTCTCTGCCTCTGCTGGGAAGAAGGAGAGGTGCCACAAGGTATGAGGGATGCCAACATTGTCACGCTATATAAGAATAAAGGTGACAGGGGCAACTGCAACAATTACCGTGGCATCTCCCTCCTCAGTATTGTCAGAAAGCTGTTTGCTCAAGTTACATGAAGAGGCTCCAAGTACTTGCTGAGAGAGTCTATCCAGAATCACAATGCGGATTCAGAGCTAACAGGTCCACCATCAACATGGTCTTTTCCCTCAGACCAGGAGGGAAATGCAGGGAACAGAAGCAGCCACTCTTTGTAGCCTTCATAAATCTGACGAAGGCCTTCGACCTCGACAGCAGGGATGGCCTGTTCAAGATCCTCCCCAAGATCGGATGCCCACCCAGGCTCCTCAGCATCATCAGATCTTTCCATGAGAACATGAAGGGCACCATGTTCTTTGATGGCCTAACATCAGACGCCTTTGACATCCGAAGTGGAGTAAAGCAGGATTGCGTACTGGTTCCAACCCTATTCGGGATTTTCTTCGCAGTTATGCTACAGCACGCCTTCGGATCTGCCACGGAAGGCATTTACCTCCAGACCAGGTTGGATGGAAAGCTCTTTAACCTCGCCAGGCTGAGAGCCAAGACAAAGGTTCGGCTGAGGTGTCTGCGCGACTTCCTTTTTGCCGACGACGCAGCAGTCACTGCCCACTCAGCCGAAGACCTCCAACGGCTCATGACCCGCTTCAGCGAGGTCTGTCAGGGCTTCGGACTCACCATCAGCCTGAAGAAAACACAAGTCATGGGACAAGGAGGGGACTCCCCCACCTGACATCGGTATCTCCGATTCCAAACTGGAAGTCGTTCACGACTTCGTGTACCACAGGATATGCTCCACAATCTCTGACTCCCTCTCTCTTGATACAGAGCTAAACAAACGCAACGGTAAGGCATCTACTACCATGTCCAAACTGACAAAGAGTGTGGGCCAACAACAGACTGACTATAACAGACTATACAAAGATTCAGGTTTACAGAGCGTGTGTCCTGAGCACTCTTTTTTATGGCAGTGAGTCTTGGACACTCTGCGCCCGTCAGGAAAGACAGCTGAATGCCTACCACATGCTCTGCCTTCGACACATCTTGGACATCACCTGGCAAGACAAGGTGACAAACAATAACGTCCTGAGGAGAGCAAGAATCACCAGCACAATGTACACAATGCTGAAACAGAGACGAATGCGCTGGCTCGGGAACGTTGTGCGAATGGCCGACGGCAGGATCCCCAAGGATCTCCTGTATGGAGAGCTGATGCAGGGAAAGCATCCAACAGGCAAGCCCCAGCTACAGTACAAAGACGTATGCAAGAGGGACCTGAAAATCATGGACGTCAATCTTACTATGTGGGAGATCCCCAAGGATCTCCTGTATGGAGAGCTGATGCAGGGAGAGCATCCAACAGGCAAGCCCCAGCTACAATACAAAGACGTATGCAAGAGGGACCTGAAAATCATGGACGTCAATCTTACTATGTGGGAAACACTGGCCACAGACCGTTCAGCCTGGGGGCAGTCTGTTTAAAAAGGTCTCTCCAAGTTCGAGGAGTCACTTGCCAAGAAATCGGAGGCAGAGACAGAGAAGGAAAGCCGATAGCCAGGAAGACAGACCACATTCGGACTTCGTTTCACTCACACCATTCACTCCTCGCACTCAACACATCCCAGGCGCCCGCCCCTCACACCACCTTACTCACGCCTCGTCATAGACCCCACACAAAAGTGGTGTTAATGAAGGATCCTCCCTCTGTAACTTACGGAACTCCAACAGGACTTCGTTTGTGTGGGGTCTATGTTCTCCTATTCCACATTCCATAACATGACATTTATTAACATTAAATTCCATTTGCCAAGTGGTGCTCCATATACTTATTTTGTCCAGGTCTTCTTGAAGGGCATGACAGTCATCTAAATTTCTTATCCTTCCTATTATCTTAGCATCATCAGCAAACATGTTCATATAATTCTGTATACCAACTGGTAGATCATTTATGTAGACAATAAACATCACTGGTGCAAGAACTGAACCCTGTGGTACTCCACTTGTGACATTTCTCCATTCCGATACATTGCCTCTGATTACTACCCTCATTTTTCTATCAGTCAGAAAATTTATCATCCATGTTAGAAGCTTACCTGTCACCCCTCCAATATTTTCCAGTTTCCAGAACAACCTCTTATGTGGAACTCTGTCGAAAGCCTTTTTTAGGTCCAGATAGATGCAGTCAACCCAACCATCTCTTTCCTGTAATATCTCTGTGGCTCGATCATAGAAACTGAGTAAATTCGATACACAGGATCTTCCAGATCGAAAACCATACTGTCTGTCTGATATTATATCATTTCTCTCCAGGTGTTCTACCCATTTAGTTTTGATTAGTTTTTCCAATACTTTCACTATTACACTTGTCAATGATACAGGTCTATAATTGAGGGGGTCTTCCCTGCTGCCATTTTTGTAGATTGGAACTATGTTAGCCTGTTTCCACACGTCTGCTACGATTCCTGTACACAGGGATGCCTGAAAGATCAGGTGAAGTGGAATGCTGAGCTCAGATGCACATTCTCTCAGAACCCATGGTGAAACGCCATCTGGGCCAGCTGCTTTGTTCTTACCGAGCTCCTTGAGTATTTTTTCCATTTCGTCTCTAGACACCTCTATGTTGTTCTCTGGAATTCTTATTGTATCTGGTTCCCTAAAGATTTCATTTTGTACAAACACACTTTGGAACTTTTCGTTTAGTGTTTCACACATTTCCTTTTCATCTTCCGTGAATCTATTTCCCATTTTCAACCTCTGAATATTATCCTTTACCTGCAATTTGTTGTTTATGAATTTATAGAATAGACCTGGTTCTGTTTTACATTTGTCTGCAATCCCTTTTTCAAAATTTCTTTCTGCCTCTCTCCTCACTGCCGTGTAGTTGTTTCTCGCATCTTTGTATCGCTGGTATGTTTGGGGGTTCGGCCTCTTCCTGTATTGATTCCATTTTTGTCTCTTTTGGTCTCTAGCCCTCTCGCAATTTCTATTGAACCAATCCTGTTTCCTAGTTCTGCATCTCTGTTTTGGTATAAATTTTTTTGTGCCTTTATCATATATTTCACAAAACTTGACATACATCTCATTCACTTCCTTGCCTAGCATCAAGTCTGTCCAATTATACTCACTAAAAAAATTTCTAAGGTCACCATAATGTCCTCTCCTGAAGTCTGGTTTTTCAACTGCTTCAACCTCCTTATTTTCTTCCAGCTTATAACGCACTGCATACTTTATTCCCAAAAAGACATGGTCACTTTTACCCAAGGGAGGAAGGTACTGAATGTCAAGTATCTCTTCCTCCTTCCTGGTAAATATCAAATCTAGCATGGAGGGAACGTCCCCTTCCCTCATCCTCGTAGCTTGTTTAACATGTTGATACAAGAATGTTTCCAGGATGAGGTCTACAAATTTACAGGTCCAAAAATCTTCTGTTTTAGCTTCATATGCTTCCCAGTCTACGGATTTCAAGTTGAAGTCACCTACTATCAACAGTCGTGATCTATCGTTATCCGCTCTCGACTATCTATCCGTGTGTGTCTCTCTCATACATATACATAATATATATATATATATATATATATATATATATATATATATATATATATATATATATATGTCGTACCTAGTAGCCAGAACGCACTTCTCAGCCTACTATGCAAGGCCAGATTTGCCTAATAAGCCAAGTTTTCATGAATTAACTGTTTTTCGACTACCTAACCTAACCTAACTTTTTCGGCTACCTAACCTATAAAGATAGGTTAGGTTAGGTTAGGTAGGGTTGGTTAGGTTCGGTCATATATCTACATTAATTTTAACTCCAATAAAAAAAATTGACCTCATACATAATGAAATGGGTAGCTTTATCATTTCATAAGAAAAAAAATAGAGAAAATATATTAATTCAGAAAATCTTGGCTTATTCGGCAAATCAGGCCTTGCATAGTAGGCCAAAAAGTGCGTTCTGGCTACTAGGTACGACATATATATTATATATATATATATATATATATATATATATATATATATATATATATATATATATATATATATATATATATATATATATACTGTATTGACAAAGTTCAGTTTGTATATATAATTTCTCTATTCCACTACAAGTCCAGGAACCTTTCAAAGTATTTCACCAATGTCTCACATTTGCATCCAAGTGCCTAATACACATTAATGTCTTCATTAATAGATTAGTTTTCAAAATATTTTTGCATATTTCTCCCAGTTGATTTGCATGGAAGAGTTCTTTACACATGGATTTAAGGTCACTATAGGTGACCTTGAATTCTTACCCACTCTCTCATGCACCTGAGCACCTCCACAATATCCTTGTTGGCTTTATTTTCACGTTGGAAGCTGCTACTGCAGCTACTCGTCCCACTGTGACTGCCGCTACTGGTCCTCAAGGGCAGCAATCTTACAAGGGGACTGAACAATGTTTGAACCAGTTCGATGGGATTAAAGGTAATGTGCAAATCTACCAATTGAACAAGATGTTTATGCATGTGTAGATCATCAGTAAGGCCAATATATTTTGTGCATGGAGGTGGTCCGAAAAGATCATGGAAAGATCTTTTCACCTTTCCACAGCAGCAACCATCCACACTATTACCCAACTAAAAAGAATGATTAAATTCATAGGGTAATTTAATTAATTTAATTAAGTACACCAAGTTAAAAGAAAGTTACATTAGGTAATCCAAGAGAGATCAGTGCAGTTACAAAGTTATCCCATATTGGATAACGGAACTAATTTGTAATTTTATCTTTACAAAACCATAAAACTTAAAAATACATTACAATACACTACAAAACCATAAACTTAAATACCAAAGCAGATACACATATGCCCTACAAAATATATACAAAAAAAGATCTGTACACTTTCATGGAATTTGGTTTCATGAATATCACATCTACATTCAAATAAAGTTGCAGTGGCAAAAATGAATTATTGTACATAAAGCATATTGAATAAAATAAACATTAATAAATAAGAAACAGCCTTGTAAGTATACCTGTTAATCCACAGTGAATCTGATTATGTATATGATGCAATTCATTTAACAGATTGATGATTAGATATATTTATTTACATTCGTTGCAAATTTTGTTGAAGTGAGAGGGAAGACATAAAATACATGTGATGAGAAGGAAAATGATCATGATAAAAAAGATGACTAGAAATAGTTGTCTATTACACCTCATGTATTTTAACTGACAAGAGTAACTTGTCTACGATGAAAGCAGAGCAAGTCACTGAAGGAAAGGGGTTGATACAATGAAAGCCTTAGCTAAGAACAAGAAGAGTTACAGCATTATTTCATGAAAATGATAGGGCTTACCATTATTGTACTTGTGTAAACACTGTTGAAGCATGTATGTAAACAAATTCTAAGTTAGAGCAAGAGAATTTGAATATTTGAGGTACACATGTGGTGTTAGGCTAGACTGAAAAAGGAATGAATACGCCACAGAACATACATAGAGTGAAGTCTGTAAACCAAGATCAAGATTCCAGATGGAGGAGTAGGAGGTACAGACAACGACAGTGTCTTGTCTCTCCTGTGCAAGAGTTGTTCCTGTTCAATAGCCATTGATTTGTTATTTTAATCATTTGTGCTGGAATATTTTAAATAAAATTAGGCAATATAAGTGTGGATGTGTTTGCAATTTTAAGAGGTAATTATGTGGTAAGGAAGACTCAGGGAGACGAGGACACTTTCCTGCCAAGGACAGCTTTGGCACCAGCTTTAAGAAGCTCAAGACACCAGGTTGTCATGATTGTTAAGACAATGTTGTCGGAGTACCTATCAGCACAAAGCAAAACAGTGATGTCTCGCAAGAAAAGTGCACAGATTGGTCGAGGCAGCTCATTTCATTTCACGCTAGAATTATAAAGTGACCACATTGTCAACTGTCACTCCACTACTGCTGGAGGAATATCGTCAACCTGATGCTCGTCAGGACTGAACCAGAAGCAGCAAGTAATTGAAATATAACCTAAATATGTCATGAACTAACCTATATTTAGTGTAGCAGAAATTGGGGGGGGGAGGGGGACTGTGAGGATCAGCCCATTAAAGTATCAGTTGGGGCCAGTGTTGGAAGTCCCAAGCAGCCAGGTGAGAGCTGGCACATATTGAATAACAGACAGCAACAGTGATTCAATGCTAACTATTTCAAATTAGCATTTTACAATTAGTCCTTGAACATGGTGGTTATCTGGGTAGAGATTCACAGGCATATAGTACATGAGAGGACACAGTGCAACCGTGGCAGAAGTTGGCAGAGAGATCCGTGGGCCAGTGATGAGAACAGGTGCCAGGAATTAACAGCCCGACACTTAAAAGACTGACTTGGTACAAATGTGATTTTATTATTGTGGTAGTGGCACATTAGATTTGGAGTGATAAACATAATTTAATCATGTGTAGCTTAACAAGGCACTAGTTTATAGCCAACTAATCCAAGAAACCTTGCGTGAATTTTTTCATTTAATGTACATATTTATGTATAGCATTATATGTGGGTTAGATCAAAAGTTATTTCATTATGTCAATTGTGTGCAAATATATTTGTCTAGAAATGAGATTCATTTATAGGTACAGTATATATATTTGTCCAGCAAGTGGATGGTAAATTTTGAGACCAGGCTGTGTTTTAATCTTCCATTGATCTGTATGATTTTGATGACGTGTAATATTAGAGATATTTAATGTGTGCATGATGAAGTTATGTACTGCCTGAGAAAAGGCTTTTGAGTGACTCACTAAGAATGGAACTTCAGTAAAAAAAACTTGTGTACAAACTTCATGTACCAGGCTACCAGAAACAGGTCGGAAGTCAGGGAAAATTCATATTAAAGTAGACCTCATAGTTCAGTCAATATCGAGATTAATTTTTTTATTTTGAATATTGCAGTTCATTATTGCTATTTCTGTAAATGTTGTTAAACTTTCTAAAGCTATCATTACTCCTTCCTGGTATCCTTGGGGATGAGTTTGGTTTGAACAAGGTTCTAATACCAACCAGCAACAATGTATGCATCTGACAATTGGCTGTGATTTTACCACACCCTGATTGAGGCTGCTACCCAAATATAGTTCTGCAAGAGCAGAGAGAGAACAGTCTTTCTATAGGAATTATGGGAGAGTGCTTCAGAGCAGTACTCACCAGTTGTTTTTTTAATGTAACAGCTTGTGTATCCCCTAGTGTAGCACTTGGGAGCTCCAGGCTTTTGTTACACCTGGGAGAACTAGCTATAACTGGTAGATTTGTTACAATAGTACGAGTGATGAATGTGTGCAAAGATGGTTTAGTCATGCTGAACAAAAGGATTGTGTAGCAAAGAACATATAATACAAGTTAATGTGAGGACCTAAGAAAAGGAAGAGTACAAAGATGGGTGGAGTGTTGGGAGGTGTGATGATGATGATAACAGAGCAGCAAGAGTGGCAGGAAACAAGGCTTGCTTGACACATTTGTACACAACACATGAACCTAACACCTTGTTTTATGTAGAGGCTAAATGTTGCTGTGAATGATTTGCTGCCATGTGGTGGTGCCGATTCTCTGATGCACTCCAGCATGGTATGCTGAGCAAATGTGTCATTTTTCAATGCACATATCTCTAGCCTTCTGATTCATAGTATTGCTCTCCTATCTTCTCTGTGCACATGCTTCTCAACCATTTGAAAGTGGGAATGGAGTAATGATGTTTGATGATCAATGCTACGTTTAAAAAATAGTAACAGTGAAGAAGTTTAAACACAAACCTACGAATCCTTTTAAATTCAAATATACAATATAACATTTTTCTGTCTTTAAAACATGTTAGGAGATTCCACAAAATCTAATGTGGTCTTGACTGCTGAAAAACCACTTTTGGGGGAGACATTTTCTGATCCAGATAAATTGTCCAAAAGAGATGCAGTGACTAATCTGAAAATAAAATAAAAAAAATTTAATTCCTAACAATGACATGGTTAATGAAGGAATCTTAGAGAAACCGTTTGGCCCCGAATTCTATAGGAGGAACAAAAATGGTCTCAAACAAATGTAAGGAGAAAAGAAGAAGAGAAATACAATACCGAGACACACTAAGCAGACTAAACTTTATTATCTAACAACAGTGTGACAAAAACATTAACATAACTCATTGACTACTAGAACATTGTATTGAATGTAATGAAATAGCTCTTTCTGGTCAAGCCCCCAATAGATCCTGAAGCTATGAGATGTCTATCCCTTTGAGATGTATTTTTTTTGTCTCAATAAACATACTTTAACTTGAACTTGCTATGAGATGTGTGACCCGGTAGTGGGGAGCCATCAATGGGTCCAATTTGGCCCATTGGGAAATAGAGCCAGAACCTGGCTTCCCGCACAAAGGTGCACAGCGCAGGTATTATCATCACCACCACTCACCAGGTAAGCATCCAGAAAGTCAGCGAAGCTTTACAGACAACTGCAAGGCTCGTAGATAAAAAAGCATTAAAATGGCCAAACGACTGCAAACTATCCATTCCAAACAATTGTTTTACTTAAAACTAGCTTGAACTGTTAGCACCAATAGCCGTCACTAGACAGCCCGGGGCTCCTTGCAGCAGCTGGCTCCACAGTCAGTTCTCAGCTGATGGAAACGAACTAATGGACCTGGCAGGGAGTATGTCAGGAAGCCACCAGGGATCCATTAAAAAGAGGATCCTATTACATTCAACCCTGGTGTTCTTCGAGCACTTTTGATTCCGACTCCACTACGGACCTCCCTGACCAAACAAGTGAGGATCCAATCCTACCAGACAGCTTCCAAAAGGCAGGGACAGAACCCTGATGCACAATGATAGGAACAACAGATGGCAGCAGCAGCAGCTGAAAGAAACTGAGTAACTGCGTCATCAGGAAAGAGGAGAGGCAAAAAAAAAGTGGAGATGGACAAAAGAATTACGAACCAGACCGAACCTAATGACTGGGCAATCACAGTCTGCCAGCAGATGATACAAGCTAAGTAAAATGATGCCACTGTCTCCCGAAGGATATAGGGTGAACAACTTGGGCAAGGCATCAAAGCTGGCACTGCAGGCAACAAGACCTCTACACCCATTACTGAACCAAATGAATCCATGCCTTTGCGGAGCATGTCTGCAAAGACTCCATTACAGCCCAAAAATACACGTCCATTGGCATGTACGAGCCTTGTTATATATCAACAAAGAATGCACAGACGACTGCTTATGGAGCTGCCACTTTCCAACATCTTTGGGGGATGGCGGAGGAAACAGACAGTCCTCGAGCAGAGAATAAGAAGCTCAAAAACACCTGAAAGATGGACACTCTTCCCACCAGTCAAGAATTCGAATCTGATAGAACTCATGCCTAACTCCCAAAGAAAATAGAGAGTTGTCAGCCAGCCAGGATGAATCCAGAACCTTATAATGTGGGCAATAAGCTGAGGTTGGTACATATTCAAATGAGGTTCAGTACGAATTTCACAGGAAGCACCAACCCCACACAGATAGCAAAACGAAGGACAACGGAAATCTCCATAAATAAGAAGAGTCCAAAGCACCGAACAGCCGACAGACTTGAACCCCGGGGAGAACGGTCTAGTTATCAAACTCATACATCAAAGTGGGTTAAGAAAACAGTTGCCCCGTGGCAAAATACCCTCTGATACACCCCTTTTGGGTATTAATACCCAAAATACACTATCGTTTCGAAATCTGGGTCCTCAAAATAAATTCCATCGAGGCCAACTCCATGGCATCCAATTGAGCATCACGCCATGACCCCCACCCCTACTATGAGAAAATCCTTGCCCTTAAAGCGACAACTGTCTGGTAAGCACGCTCAGAGACAAGAGAAACCCAACCCAAATAGGACATCTCCAACCAAGGATCTACACAGAGGCGTCAACAATTCTTGTGCTGTCCAAGGCTCTCCACCCAAGAGGCCAGGCTTTTCAGGGGCAAACTATTAAACACACTAAAGAAATTACTGTCAGTGCAGGAGCAGTGCTAAATGAGCACCCAGAGAAGGGAACCCTGAGGCCATGCAAAACAAGCCAAGTCCACACAACAGAGCTGGGATGAACACACACTTGTGAAGCAAATGCCAATATAAAGGTACAAAACCTGAGCAAATGGTTCTCGCAGGACAAAGTCCCGAAGAAAGGCTGATACTTAGCTGAGAGGCAGTAGGACGGTGTCCCGGCAGCACAGCCCAGCAATCGACCACATCAGCGACAGGACTGACCTTGAAGCTGGCTGGTGGCTGTGGCTCACATGGTGGCTGCAATCTGAACAAATGGGTTCTAGCTACTTTTGGGTGAATCAGTTGCTTGGAAGGAATACAGTAGTTTGTAGAGTTGTTTGGCTGTTTTGATGATTTATTTTCTATGAATCTTGTAGTTGTCTATAAAGCTTCACCAATTTTCAGGATGTTTTCCTAGAGTGTGACCAGTGTGACTAAATAAGTGGAACTTATCTCTCTGCTTCTAAGGTTCTAGCTCTGGTCTCTGGTAGGAAAAACGGGACTCCAGCAATTGATGTGACCCAGTAATGGGGAGCCATCTCAAGAGAGCTTCAGGGAGCTACCAAGGTTCTCCTTCAAGAAAGCCAGTATTGAATGTAATGAAAACCTCTGTCTGGTGGATCCTTAGTACCTGGATGGGGTTCTGGGAGTTCTTCTACTCCCCAAACCCAGCCCAGGGTCAGGCTTGACTTGTGAGAGCTTGATTCAACAGGCTGTTGCTTGCAGCAGCGGCCCTCAGGACTACATATCCATCACAGCCTGGCTGGCCTGGCACTTCTTGTAGAAAACTATCTAGTTTTCTCATGAAGGTGTCCACACTATCTCCTTGACTAGCTACCTGGATAGCTCCACTAATTTCAATCCACTCTAGGCTACCTGGGATTTTCACGAGAGAAGGCAACATAGAGGACACGGCAAACCTCCAATCAGATGTAGATCAGGTCTTTCTATGGGCTACAGAAAATAATATGGTGTTTAACGAAGATAAGTTCCAGCTCATGCGCTACGGAAAAAATGAAAATATAAAAACAAAAACCACGTACAAAACTCAGGCAAATCATAACATAGAACGAAAAGGCAATGTAAAGGATCTGGGTGTACTCATGTCGGAAGACATGGGTACACAAAGAACACACTTTACAAAGAACACCTTTAAAGAACACAATAAAGTAGCCGTCACAACTGCAAGAAAAATGAAAAAACTTTTCACACTAGAGATGCTATACCGATGATACTTTTCAAAACGCTTGTGCTCTCTAGAGTGGAGTACTGCTGCACAATGACAGACCCTTTCAAAGCTGGAGAAATTGCTGACCTGGAGAGCGTGCAGAGATCCTTTACTGCTAGAATCCACTCGGTAAAACATCTAAATTACTGGGACCGACTAAAGAGCCTAAATCTGTACTCTCTTGAGTGCAGGCGGGAGAGATAAATAATAATTTACACATGGAAAATAATTGAGGGGCTGGTCCCAAAACTGCACACAGAAATAACATCACATGAAAAAGAACTAGGAAACAAAAGGCTGGCATACCGAAAGGGAAATTATGAGGAGATGAGAAGCTTCCTAAGGAAAATACCTTGGGACACAGACCTCAGAGCTAAGTCTGTGCAAGATATGATGGACTATGTCACCCAAAAGTGTCAGGAGGCAGTAAACAGATACATCCCGGCCCAAAAGGAAAAATCCGAGAAACAAAAGAAGAATCCATGATATAATAGGGCATGTATGGAACCAAAGAAACTGAACAAAAGGGCGTGGAGGAACTTCTGGAATAACAGAACACCAGAAAGCAGAGAGAGATACCAGAGAACCAGGAATGAGTACGTCAGGGTGAGAAGAGAAGCAGAGAAAAGTTATGAAAATGATATAGCAAACAAAGCCAAGACCGAACCAAAGCTACTCAACAGTCACATCAGAAGGAAAACAACAGTGAAAAAACAGGTAGTGAAACTTAGAACAGGCGAGGACAGGTATACAAAGAATGACAAAGAGGTGTGTGATGAACTCAACAAGAGGTTCCAAGAGGTCTTCACAACAGAACAAGGTGAGGTCCCTGTGCTAGGAGAAAGGGACGTAAACCAGGCCTTGGAAGAGTTTGAAATTACGAGAGAGGTGGTCAAGAGACACCTGCTGGATCTGGATGTTAGAAAGGCTGTTGGTCCAGACGGGATCTCGCCATGGGTACTGAAAGAGTGTGCAGAGGCACTTTGCTTGCCACTCTCCATAGTGTATAGTAAGTCACTGGAGACAGGAGACCTACCAGAAATATGGAAGACGGCGAATGTGGTCCCAATATACAAAAAGGGCGACAGGCAAGAGGCACTGAACTACAGGCCAGTATCCTTGAATTGTATACCATGCAAGGTGATAGAGAAGATCGTGAGAAAAAACCTGGTAACACATCTGGAGAGAAGTGACTTTGTGACAAATCGACAACATGGGTTCAGGGAGGGTAAATCTTGCCTGACTGGCTTAATAGAATTCTATGACCAGGTGACACAGATTAAGCAAGAAAGAGAGGGCTGGACGGACTGCATTTTCTTGGATTGTCGCAAAGCCTTTGGCACAGTACCACATAAGAGGCTGGTACATAAGCTGGAGAGACAGGCAGGTGTAGCTGGTAACGTGCTCCAGTGGATAAGGGAGTACCTAAGCAATAGGAAGCAGAGAGCTACGGTGAGGGGTGAGACCTCCGATTGGCGTGAAGTCACCAGTGGAGTCCCACAGGGCTCTGTACTCGGTCCTATCTTGTTTCTGATATATGTAAATGATATCCCGGAGGGTATAGATTCATTTCTCTCAATGTTTGCGGACGATGCCAAAATTATGAGAAGGATTAAGACAGAAGAGGACTGTTTGAGGCTTCAAGAAGACCTAGACAAACTGAAGGAATGGTCGAACAAGTGGTTGTTAGAGTTCAACCCAACCAAATGTAATGTAATGAAGATAGATGTAGGGAGCAGGAGGCCAAATACAAGGTATCATCTGGGAGAGGAAATCCTTCAGGAGTCAGAGAAAGAAAAAGACTTGGGAGTTTATATCACGCCAGACCTGTCTCCTGCAGCACATATCAAGAGGATAACATCAGTGGTATATGCCAGGCTGGCCAACATACGAACGGCATTCAGAAATTTGTGTAAAGAATCATTCAGAACTTTGTATACCACATATGTCAGGCCAATTCTGGAGTATGCAGCCCCAGCATGGTGTCCATATCTAGTCAAGGATAAGACTAAACTGGAAAAGGTTCAGAGATTTGCCACCAGACTAGTACCCGAGCTGAGAGGTATGAGCTACGAGGAGAGACTGCGGGAATTGAACCTCACTTCGCTGGAAGACAGAAGAGTTAGGGGGGACATGATCACTACATTCAAGATTCTCAAGGGAATTGATAGGGTAGATAAAGACAGGCTATTTAACACAAGGGGCACATGCACAAGGGGGGACAGGTGGAAACTGAGTGCCCAAATGAGCCACAGGAATATTAGAAAGAACTTTTTTAGTGTCAGAGAGGTTGACAAATGGAATGCATTAGGAAGTGATGTGGTGGAAGCTGACTCCATACACAGTTTCAAGTGTAGATATGATAGAGCCCAATAGGCTCAGGAATCTGTACACCAGTTGATTGACGGTTGAGTGGTGGGACCAAAGAGCCAGAGCTCAACCCCGCAAGCACAACTAGGTGAGTACATGAGACCAGAAGACATGGCAGGATGTGCAGAATACCCCCGTTAAAAAGCAGAGGTCCAACAGATACTCTGAGAGAGAACTATCAACAAGAGAGAACTGTTCAAGAGAGAACTGGATAAGCACCTCCAAAGGATACCTGATCAGCCAGGCTGTGACTCATACGTCAGGCTGCGAGCAGCCGCATCTAACAGTCTGGTTGATCAGTCCAGCAACCAGGAGGCCTGGTCGATGACCGGGCCGCGGGGACGCTAAGCCCTGGAAGCATCTCAAGGTAGGCCCTTTGAGTCTTTGTAAGCCTACTGTGGATGAAAGGGCAAAACCTGGCCCCCCCTCTCTGTAGAGATGCAGGGAGCTACTAGTTCACTCTAGCTACTAGTTGGGATACTAGTTCACTCTAATCAAGAAAAGATCACCCAGAAAGGTGTGCAAGTCAAAACACACTTTCAGCAGTGTAAAAAAAAAAATTATGATGAGACATTTCATTACATTCAATGCTGATTTTCTGAGAGTTATGGTAGCTCCTTGAGCTATGTCATCACAAAGAACAAAACAAATGGGTTCTCACTCACCAGGGGCAGAGGAGAGCCGCAGAAAGTAACCTCCAAGAAAGGGGAAATTAACGACCAGATAACCGCCCTAAAGCCAAGCAAGGACCAAGACATTAGAAAACTGCAGACAGCTGCAATGAACATGATGGGCCCAAGGGTACTGGCTAAACTTGATAATATTGTGGATAGTCAGACACAAAATCTTGGATCCAGAACAGCACAGTGCACTATTATTGGATTGGAGGTAATGGTGAATGGCCACAACCGAACAACAAATGATGCACCCCCTGGTCAAACCAATCAAGCAGCTTTCACCTAAGGAACCTCTCTGGATACCAGCAATCTTATTCTCAGCCAGAAAGGAAGGAGAGGGCTGTAAGGAAAGAAAGACCCCCAGGACCAAAAGAAAATCTTCCCATATGAAGGAGAGCATAAAGCTCTACAACCTGACAACCAGAAGCAAGGACCAACCAAAAATAAAGCCGAACAGAAACAATCCCCAACTGAAGGAGCAACAGAAAACCAAGGTGAGGAGAGAAAAACCAAAACTTTGTCTAAAGACAAAAGCAGCTCAGGAGCAGGCTGGAGGTGAAAAACCAAATCCTTGTCTAAAGATGAAGAAAGCTCAGGAAGAGCTTGAGCAAGCTGGAGGTGAAAAACACGACAACTTGTGAAATGTGGCCGATTAAATATTGAGGCTAAATGTCAACAGCAGCAGCTCCGCCTAGGGCAAATGATATACCTGGAGAGGGTTCTGAGAATTCCTTCTACTCCGAGCCCGGCCTGAGGCCAGGCTCAATTTGTGATAACTTGGTCTAACAGCCTGTTGCTTGGAGCGGATCCCAGGCCGACATACCCACTATAGCCCGGTTCGTCCGGCACATTTTGCAAGAACTTATCTAAGTGCCTCTTGAATCCATCCACCTTTGTTCCAACAATATTTCTAATGCCTGCTGGGAGGGTGCTGAATAGTGGTGGACCTCTGATGTTCAGACAGTGCTCTTTGGTTGTGCCTATGGCACCTCTATTCTTCACTGGTTCTATTCTGTATTTCCTTCTGTATGTTGTTATTCTACTGTGCAAATTTGGGACCTGGCCTTCAAGTATCTTCCATGTATATTATTTGATACCTCTCTTGTCTCCTTTCCAAGGAGTATGTTATGACCCTGGGTTCCTCAGTGGAAACCAGGTCAAAATTGAGCTAAATAAACTACCTTATAGTATTGGACGCATCGCGAGCTGCATTTGTTTGTATCTTCCCTGCCAGACATAAGACTATTCTTGTTTCTCAAAGAGCATTTAAAGACTGAGCTTGGGGTTGATTATTAACACTTTCGCGCTCTCCGCAAAGGTCACTCAGCCAACCGAATGTGCGCGCTGCGTTTTTATCGCTTAAGCGTAAAAACAAAAATGTGTATACTCTTTTTACTCTTCTGACCTTAGTTCTCATGCTACGTATTTCATTTTGGTACCAACGTGTTCGCAATAAAATTCTCTAGAAGAACATCAGTAAAAAAAGTCACGAAACGTATAGGGATACCAGCACCAAATAAATAACTACGAAGATGACTCGCCGTGAGCGCCCATCAGCAACAAAATGTTTTTACTCTTGGGATTGTAATCACCTCCACACTTATTCTACAGCGTTAATTTTGGTATCAATGGACTCGCAATGAAATTCCCAACACGGTGATATGAATATAAGCGTAGAATAATGATGCGGCCCGCCCGCAAGAGTGTGGGAAGTGGTGAAATTGTTACCCGGTATCGGTGACGGGATGACGCACGGCGCTTTGAAAGTTTATACTTATTTCACTCTCATGACATTAATTTTCTATGTACGTCATTCATTTTTGTGTCAATGTGTTCGCAATAGAATGTTCTATGTGCCCATAGGTAAAAAATATCAACAAAGCGTAAGTTAGAATAGCGCCAAATATAAAACAACGCTGGAACATATCAGTGAGCGTCAAACACACACGAAATGTTTTTACTTTTGTTATGTTTGTCAAGTTTATACTTGTTGCACACAGTTATTTTTGGTTGTATATTGATCGGAATAAAATTCCCTAAACAGACATATGCATATAATACATGATATGGGGGAAGCATTACCAGTATAAACGGCTAAAGTCACCCACCTGCAACCCGTTTGGGACAAAATACCATTTGATCGAAGTTATCCACACCTTTCATGAACTTATTGTACCATGCAGCCTAGTGGTGAGAAAGAGAGCCTCATAGCGCGCAGTTTGAAACAAACCCAAAGTAAATCGGATAAAAATTGAATTTTATACAAATATTTTAAAAGAGGACTCAACTTTATGTCCACTATGCGTTAGCGTTAGACGAAACGGGACGCGCCGGCGCGTCCAGATAGCGCGAAAGTGTTAAATAATAAAATAGGCACCAACTATGTTTACTAATACTTTCTAATCATTTGTAAAGTAAACCTGAGTAAAGTTGGGATAGGAATGCTGTACGATTAGTTGAGTAGTCTGCTGGCAGCGAGTGAACTGAGGGAGGAGAGAGGAGATGCTCGCTCTTGTCTGTTGGCGTTCGAGGTGTAAACAGCGGGACTCTGTGGCTGCACCTCTCTCCCCTTCTACCTTTCCTCTTACTTATTTCCCTTACCTTAAGTTAAGTATATCCTGTGTTTTAAGTGTGCCTACTCTGGTAGTAAAGATTGGTGAGACCTGGGAGTAGTATTTGCCAGTGTTTTGGGTACCCCTAAGTGTAGTGTTGTATTGTGTTGTATTAGGGTACCACGTGGTCTCACTAAGCTGCATCAAGCTTCAGTTCTTAACCAGTAGTACTTTACCCTAGCTTGTTCACAGTGTAAACCTTGTATCCTGTGGACCAAGGCTTTTAACGTAAGATAGTGTGGTAAAGTAATTATTATTGTTATTGGTGTGAATGTATATGGGGGGTTGTTAAGGGGTTAATAAATAAGTTAGTTAGTTAAAGGAGTATCCCTTTTTCCTGTGTAGGAGATCTATGATCAACCTCTAGGCTGACTATTGCTGTAATAAGCCACTACAAGTTTATTTTTATATATTTAGTGGGGGCCGGGCCTTTGAGATCTCCCATATTTGATGACTCTTAATGCTAACTACTGCCCCTACATCCATTAACACTAGACTCCCCATAGAACACACTTTTATTTGTAACAGTACATTTTGAGAGTGTTGAGACGGTCCCAATAGTTTAGAAGTTTTATCATTTTTATGTGTGCCGTATATGTTCTGTATACAGTACAGCATGTTCTTCCCGTGTATATTAGGCAACAGTAACCTATCATGAGCATGAGCAGCCTATCCACAAAAAGACAAAAACAAAAGGACCACTGGTACAGAAAGTGAAGACATGTGACATTTAGAAGCTAAATTCAATTAATCTACATTAGCACCCTGTGGCAGAAGAACACACACAAATTAAGAACAAGTTCTATTGACATTACGCATTAAATTCACACACTTATTCACCGAGCAATTTCTAAATGGTTAAATGACCCTGTACAGTCTTTTCAAAATTGTCATATCCTTGCACATTGTATTATGCCTTTCAAGAGCGGATGCACTATGCCCTAAAACTATGTACTCGTTCATGTATTTACTATCTTCAGAAGGTCCTACCTTTGTCTCTTGTTAATATTCCTTTCCTGGAGAGGGAGAGCTGTGATGTCAAACGTTGAATTTAGCAGAGTATCACTTTTGCTGACCTGAAACAAAAGAAATGTTAATACAAAAATTAAGTAACTTTTTCTGATGTTACAGCAGTCACTTCTCATGGGAAACAAAATAATAAAAAAAACTTTTATTTAGGGTCCCCTAAAATTGTGTAGGAAGGTAACCTTCGGTGACCAGGAGAAGACCTGGTCAAGGACCGGGCTGCGAAGCACGAAGCACATTTCGGGGCTGTTGAGGCCCGAAATCATCGCAAGGTAAGGTAACAAGAACATACAGAAGATTAACTTTACTGAGATCACTAACAACTTTAGATGCAAATGCCAAAAGAAACTACACACACTACATCAGAGAACTGAGGCAGACCCCTGGCTACCTCCCTCCTTCCTCCATATGAGGGGGAAGGCGGGGCATACGAGTTGGCGCTAATTTTATGAAACATCAATCATTTGTTTGCATTGTTGGCCAAGTTCTACGGCAATTTCTCGAGATTGGTCTTAAAACACCAGTAGTGGTTTTGTTTTGTTTCGTTGACTTTCTGGGTGCTTTCCTCAGTGGTGACATACATGAAAATCTTAATATATAAATGCCACTGCTCCCTGCACCTCCTGTGAGGGGGACAGGTTCTGGTTCCCGGTAGGCCATAGAAATGCACAACCGATAGGACCTAGTAGTGACACACTGACACAGTAACTTCAAGGAGCCACAAGGAGCTCCTCCCAGAATAGTTTGTACATTCACTAAACCCTGCCACCTGGTGGCAGTTGACATGGAGGATAACTTGTTAGTTTTTAGCAGGTCATAACAGGTTTCTTTCAATTTTTGGTTCATATATATTGCTCAGAATTTTGAGTCGTTCAACATAACAAAATATTTAAAAATTAAAACTATCACTACACTCTTAAATCAAATACAATTTTCTTAGTGTATAACTTCCACACTTGTCATGATTTACCGAACAACCTAACATGACATAACAGTTTTGATAGCCTGGGGTCAATGTAATAGGATGTTGAACCTTTTCTCTAGCCACCTGGAAACTAGCTACATTTTGTATTTGAAGACCAAAACCTGCTGAGTGACCAGCTGTTGTTGCAATGGAAAGTTTAAAGAGATGACACCAAACTTATTACAATAGGGAACCAACTTGGCAATTTTAAAAAATCTTTGATGGTAGCCCATCTTTATTATAGACTTACAAAATACAGTACAGTAGTTAATACTTACATCTGATATGCTTGAATTTGGCGTATTTCTGTTCTTGCACTTCACAAGTAAACATTTACACTTCATGCTACAAGTAGTTGCATTCTTACGACAGGCACACATTTTTTTGGAACAATCTCCTTTGCATCCACATTTTGTGTCCCCGTTTGAGTCGCGCTTCAAAAGAGTTCTTCTGGTCTTCTTTCCAGCACTTTCTTCATCATTTTCACCATTCTCCCGTGAAGTCCTTATGCCTTGCTACAAAAAATAAACACAAATGCAAGCACAGTATTCTAGTTGTATCAAGAAGTGAATATACTCTAACCACACACAAATGTTATATTTGATATCTAATGATGAATATACATAATTTAATTAAATTTCCGAAGCCAACTTAACCCTTAACCCTCAAACCGCGCATATCATATATAAATGATATCAGTGACAAAACCGAAACCGCGCACATCATTTATATATGATTTCGTGTCTAGCGCTATAATTTAAACGCCCCGCCTGGGATAGGGGCAGCTATAGTACAGCCACGACCGATAGTTGCCAGATGCCACCTAGAAAAAAATCCAGGCCAACATTCTTGGGTGTTACAGCTCAGTATTGAGCAAGCCACCCAGGCTGGCGCACGCAGCACGAGCTCACAGCACCGCTGTTCAGCTTGTGACCACAGCATCGCCTACAAATACCATAATATAAATGATACTGCTATTATTTAGCAGTGATAGTATTACTGAAGCCCCCTGACTGTGATAAAACTGACCAGGATACTGATAATAGCAGGATTGTGGTGATATTTAGCGCTGTGCTCCATGGAGGGAGGAGTAAGGCTGTGGAGGGAGGGTTGTGGCGTCATCTTCTGACTGTGTGTGGCCACCATTTATTGACTGCACTCACCATACCAGTTTAGTGGTTCGCTATGGTGAACACAAATGTAGATACTTATATATAACGTGTGTATAGTGAGAGATAACAGCGAGAGGAGTAGGTTGGGAGCCGCCATTTTAGTGAGGGAGGAGCGTCGTCTGCACGACTTGGCATGGTGTTTGCTGATGGCCACTATGGTCTTTGGACACCATACCAGCTTATTTGTTCAGGTATGGTGAATAAAAAGGTAGATACTTATATATAATGTGTGTATATAGCGTAATAACACCACAAACAATATTGTTGGAGGACAAATATTAGTGCGTCTGGCCTTGAGGGCGGCCGCCGATCAGCTGACTGTGTGAGTAGCTACGTCTTATGGCCTTTATACACCATACAAGCTTAGATGTACAGTTATGGTGAACAAAACATGTAAATACGTATATATAACGTCTGTGTATAGTGAATAAATACAGAAAGAGTATTGTGGGAGGTGAATGAGGGTGAGTGAGGTGGTGTTGAGGGAGGGAGTGGCAGTGAGTGGCTCGCTGGTGTTTGGCGATCACTCCTCGTTGATTTTTGACTCACAAGACCAACTTAGTAGTTCGTTATGGTGTACAAAACATGCAAATACTTATATATAACCTGTGTATATAGTGTAACAACAGCAAAACTATTTGTTTATTGTTTTATGAACATAATAATTGAATCACTAATATGCACACCATAATTTTGAGTACAGCGATGGTTCACACATTTTATAATATAAACAATCAGAGACATTGAAATAATTAGGTAATAATATATTTGTGGCAACTGCCGTCTGACAGCTCGGGCGGAGCAGACCTCGTCTGGCGAAGGGTCTGCCAACGTCCCTTTTTTGCCACACTTCCCTACCCTATTGCGGCTAAAATATGCCACCTACGATTTTTTTGTTATTTTTTCCGTGATCAGGGAACAAAAATGAACACTTCTATAAGACGAAAGAATTTTTTGGATCTTTTTTTTTTTGTTGCGCCTGTGGGTGTGAATTCCATTTGGGCCCCTAGCGGCTTGAGGGTTAAAGGACGCAAATTGTATATGTACAACTTTGCAATTCTTCTCATACTGCACACATTTTCTTAATAAATGAGGAAGGAACATCCTCTATTCTACATCAACAACCATCATACCATTTTCATGTTTACAAATTGAAAACACCCTCATTAAAAAATAAAGTTCTGTGTCTGTGTTTTTTAACAAGTGTTGTTCTAGGATGAAAGCTACATTCGTGGTGTCACACCTACCCTATAATATTCGTCACACGACACTTTGAAACTGCCGACGGTTTTGGCATCAACCATCTTCTCGTTTATATTGTTCGAACCGCCCACAACTCTTTTCGCAAAGAAAAGTTTCATTTTCTTGCACCTCTGATTTCTAAGCTGGAGTCTGTGTGGCCTTTTGTTCCAGACGTTAACATTTTTAAATATTTCTCTTTGTTAACTTTGTCGATTCCTGTAACAATTGTGTGTACTCACCTATTTGTGCCTGCAGGATCAAGCATTGATTCTTGGATCCCACCTTTCTAGCCTTTGGTTGTTTAAAGCAATTACTCTTGTCCTCCTTCCCTATCATACCTAGTTTTAAAGCTATTAATAGTGTTTGCTTCCACAATGTGCTCCTCTAGTTCATTCCACAACTACTCTCACACTAAAAGAAAACTTTAACATCTCTATGACTCATCTGAATTTCTAGCTTCCACCCATGTCCCTTGCTCTGTTGGTATTCCATGTGAACATTTCGTCTATTTCCACTTTGTCAATATTTGTCATGCTGCTATTGTATCTCCCCGCTCCCTCCATATTTTTTTTATAAAATTGTCAGGTTCATTTTCTTCAGTCACTCTTTATATCCCATCCCATGCAACTCCGGGACTAGACTCGTCACAAATTTCTGAACCTTTTCCAGTTTCTTTGTGTGTTTCTTTAGGTGGGGGCTCCATGATGGGGGATGCATACTCTAAGTAGTCTCACATAGGCAGTGTAAAGCGCTCTGAATGGCTCCTTATTTAGGTTTCTGAATTATGTTCTAACTTTTGCTAGCATAGAGTACGCTTGTTACAGTATCAACACCGTTGCTGGAGTGAGGCGTGGCAATTTCGGTATCATCTATGGACTTGCACTCGAACTCCAAGGCATTAGGCGAGACGCAGACAACGCCATCTGTTGGCGGAGGTGAGGCATCTATGAAAGGCTCCCGTTTCATTCCTCAATTAGGAGGTGAGATCGATAATGGTGACCTCTGGTGAGTGAAGTAACGATATCAACGCCATCTAGACTGCATTCAATTGCATTTGTAGTTCCCCGGTGACAGATTCTCATTCTTTGTTCTCCTTGTATACTTTGTCTGGCTAAGGACTTATGTTGACCAACATGCCCGAGATTGGACCAAGAGAAGTTACAAGACGACAGTAGTGGCCACCTGCTGAGAAGTGCTGCTAGTGTGTAGCTAGAAACTTCTGCCAGGGTGTTACAGACTTCTGGAAATGATTATCTGTGTCCCCCATCAGCATGCTGCTAAAGCCCTCTGTCAGTGTGTTTCTGGAGAGCAAATGTGGGGTATTGCAACATCCTGACGATACGGTGTGTGGACTGGCCAGTGTTGAGGAAGGTAAACTCGCCGGTGATTACCATTGAACATGGACGACGTATACTCGAAGATAATGGACTCCCCGGGTTTGATTGATTGATGAAGATTAAGCCACCCAAAAGGTGGCACGGGCATGAATAGCCTGTAAGTGGTGGCCCTTTTGAGCCATTACCAGTATCAAGAGCTGATACTGGAGATCTGTGGAGGTGCGACTGCACTCTGCGTGACGGGAGATGTCTCCCGACCACCGGGTTTTGAAGAACACTGCATATATACAGAGTGTCCTATGTGAAAGTGACACTGTACGTAAGTGTAGTTATACTTCGATAGATAATATATTAGTGAAGGCGTTATTGCATCTTGTTTACCCCCTTTTATTCCTTGCAAAATTACTTGCTACTGCCAATTCTTGATAACTTACCATTGACTTGGGGTGCACTCACAGAAGGAGGCAGCTCTAAGGCCCATTAAGTAGAAAGAACCCAGTTACTGGCTCAAGTAGGCCGTAACAACGCTGCTGTCATTATCCAATTTATATATGCCTCAGGAGTTAGATTTGATGTTATGTCCATTCCCAGGTCCCTTTCTCAAATTGTCACAGGAAGATAGTTTCCCTTCATTGTGTACTGACCCTTTGGTCTCCCATCACCTAGTCCCATTTCCATAAGTTTACACTTGCTCGTGTTGAACTCTAGTAGTCATTTCTCTGACAATCTCTGCAGCTTGTTCAAGGCCTATTGAAAAATATCTTACAATCCTCATCTGTCATAACTTGTCATTAATTTCGCATAGTCCGCAAACATCAACACACAGGACTAGACTCCTGTAGACATGTCGTTCCTGTATATTAGAAATATAACTGGTCCCAGCACCAATCCTTGAGGTACTCCACTTGTTACAATTCACCAGTCTGATTTCTCACCCCTGACAGCTACTCTCTCGCTCCTGCCTGTTAAGTAATTCTTAACCCAAGCTAGGGCTTCTCTGCTTACTCCCACCTGCCTCTCAAGGTGCCTCTTTTCCTGTGCAGTACTGTGCCAAAGGTTTTCTGGCAGTCCAGAAATATGCAGTCTGCCAATCCTTCCCTCTCCTGCCATATTCTTGTTATTTTATCATTGAATTCCAGGTTTGTTAGGCATGATTTTCCTTCTCTGAACCCATGTTGGTGTTTATTTATAAACCTAATGTTCTGCATCTGTGTAACCAGTCTGAACCCAGGTTGCTAATGTTCTGTAGGTGTGTAACCAGTCTTAACCGATAATTCTTTCAAGTACTTTACAGGGAGATGCTTGTCAGTGATACCGAGTTAAGTGTCTCTTCCCTATATCCTTTTTTGAAAATTAGTACATTTGCTTTCTTCCAGCAACTGGGCAACTCTCCCTTTGTAAGTGACTCATTATAGATCCTTGCTAGAGGCACGCTGAGGGCCTGCGCTGCCTCTTGGTATCCATGGTGATACATTGTCTGGCCCAACTGCTTTAGTTTCATCCAGTGTTGTCAGCCATTTCATTACCACCTCTGCTGTCACCTCTATATCTGTTAGTTTCTCCTCTTGGGAGATCTCCTTTTCTAGCTATTGGGGGCTGTTCAGGCTCGGTTGTAAACACACTATGGAAACGCATTCAGTGCCTAGCACATTTCCTTGTCGTTTTCTGTATATGCCCCTTCTGTTCTCCCTAGTCTTTTTATTTGGTCGTTCACTGACATTTTTCCTTCTTATATGATTATGTAGAAATTTAGGTTGCTTTTTCGCTTTCATTGCAAAATAGTTTTCATAATTCCTTTTCGATACATTCCAAGCTCTGTTGCATCTAATCCTCTTGTCCTCTGTCCTTTCTCCACTCCCTCTTGCTTCTCACTTTTGCTTCCTAGCACTGTCTATTACACCATGGGTTTTTATATTCCATCCTAATTTGTTCCTTTACTGTTAGTATAAAACTCTTTTCAACCTCCTTGCATTTCCACTTGACTAGGTCCATCATATCTTGCACTTTTTTTTCTTGGTTCCTCTTTTCACTGCACTTCTTCCAAATATTCTCCTATCCTCCTGTAATTAATATATGTATGTATGTATATGTCTTGTGTTTGTCACCTCACCCAAAACTTTTGTACCATGTCACCTCATCCAATAGAGTATAAGTATGAAGAATGTGTGTGTAAATTAAGTCTTTGAAAATGTAATAGGAATTACGAAACGCGTTCAGGCGTCAGACAATTAAAAAATTAATTTTGGAGAATTGTTATTTTTATTACCACCAACAGTGAAGAAAAACTTAATATAATAAATAATAAGAAATATTGAGAAAAATAGTAAATAATAAGAAATATTGAGAAAAATAGTAAATAATAAGAAATATTGAGAAAATTCGGGGTAGAATTATTAATCTTACCTTTTCGGTCATATTCAACAACGTATGTATATGTATGTATGTATGTATGTATGTATGTATGTATGTATGTATGTGTGTGTGTGTACACATATACATATTGGCATGTGTGCACAAGTTTGAGCATACAGATAAAAACCATGAAAAAATATTGTCAACGGGAAACTTACTGTTATCTGTTTGATTTTTTTAAAGAGTGGTGTTTTGCACCAATCTGGATCATCCTTTTCATCTTCATCAACAGCTTCTTCTTCTGTAATATATTCCACCTCCTCCTCCTCCTCCTCCTCCTCGTCGTCTTCTGTTCCTGAAGACAGCAAAACAACATCTGCCTTCTTGGCTTTGGACTTCACATTAGTGGGATTATTTGCTCTGCCCAAGTTCAAAGGTACCTGTAAGAAACATATTTCATGTGTGTGGGAAGACTCATATTAAAAACAACCTTGCCAAGCATAGTCACACCTCAAAAATACAAGCTTCCATATAATTTATATTTTTTAGGTTATTTACCACCAAATTTCCCACATTTCCCAGATTTTTTGAGAAATTGAAAATCAACCATAAATTTTGTTTTAATTATGCTTAAAAGCATAATTTTTGGCAAAGGCACTAATTATTTCTATTGTGCACTAATCTAATATAATAAAAAATGTGATTTGAAAAACAGTGCAACCTCGATTCGTGAACTATATCCTAACATCACCGATTCATTGGAGCGAAGGATTCGTGGTAACAGATGTCTTCTGGAACCATTTGTCAGATACTATTTTTTAAGAAAAATACATTGCTTCAGCTGTTTCTTTCTTCTAATGTTGCTTCTATGTATGAAAATCATTAATCCTCCAACTGTGCACAGAGACTAGGCTTTTTTTTAGGTCCAGATTTAAAACTCTCATGGATACACGGGGTGTATCCACGTGTATCCAAACACGTGGTCTAACCAAACACTGCTACTGCTACACCATTAACTAAATTTGTATATAAAGATAAGGTTGGAAAGTTACCTGGGCGTTTCTAATGCTTGAAACGTCACCAATCTGCTTCTTCAGTTGCTCACACTCTTGAGTCTTTGCCTGAAGTTCTTCGTGTAATTCAGAAAGGCGAGCAATTTCAACTTCCTGGAACTTTAATCTTTCTCTGAGAGCATTATCCTCTTCAGACTGATTTGGTCCCACTTCACCCTAAAAAAATATCAAAACAAAAATCAAATGTTAAACATTAACTACCTTCAGGTTATCAACAATATAATACAGTGGAGAGAAACATACAGGTAGGAAAATGAAGGACACATACCTGGAAAGGGTCTCAGAAATTCTACTGGGAGTTATCGAGTTCTACCGATAACTTGTGATAAGTTTTTGCAAGTCTTATCGACTTGTGATAACTTGTTCCAACAGGCTGTTGCTTCGATCAGCCCGCAGGCCCACATATCTACCATATCCTGGTTGGTCTGGCAGTTCTTGCAAGAACCTGTCTAAGTGCCTCTTGAATCCACCCACCTTTGTTCCAACAGTATTTCTAATGCCTGCTGGGAGGGAGTTGAACAGCTGTGGGCCCCTGATGTTCAGAGAGTGCTCTTGTATGTGCGTATGGCACATACATACTCACTTTGCTTTGTTTTGCACATCATCATCTTCTTGATAGTAGGTGCAGTTTGCATGAAGGGTTTGTCCTCCCAATGACTGCACTAGTGCAGATGTTGGTAGAGGCGTTTATGTTGAAGATGATAAGAGTTTCAAAAGTGCTTGTTGCGTTGCGCTATAGACAGAGGAGTGGCGACTAGAACAGAGGTGTGTGTTAGAGGGAGACTTGTCGCACTGTAGGGCGGTGTGTTGTGTTTATGGCGTCAGCTGATCCTTGGTACTGCGACGAGGCAGTTGTTTTCTGTGTTTAGCTGTTGGTGGCGCCAGGTATAAATGTGGCGCGGGTCAGATGTGACCCAATTTGTTGGTCGATTGGAGATATTTAGCCAGTGCTTTGACTATTTGGTATTTTTCTTGTAACGAGTGGTCACCGCCTCCTAATATATACTCGATGGTAAAGGGTATTTTGAGTGAGATAAGTACTTGTTTAAAATTTACTCTGGCACTATAATGTCGGAAGCAGTGAAGGAGATAGTGTTCGATTGTTTCAGGCACCTGACAGTGGATGCAGAGTTCGTTGATGTCTGTTCTGTACTTAGAGCTGTGTGCTGCTAGTTTGGTGTGTCCCAGCCTTAATCTGGTCATCGCTATATCAATTTCTCTGGTTTTATATCTGACATGTTTCCAAGTTTCCCATTTCTTTTTAATGGACCCATAGTACAAAGGTGAGCATGACGTTTTCCATTTCGTTGCAAAATCTTGGGTGATGGTATTTTCGAAGGCTCCTTTACGTGCAACATGGGGAATTGGATGACGGGTAATGTGAGGTGTATTGTGCATTGCTTTGGCTAGTTGATCTACTAGTTCATTATGGAGAATACCACAATGCGCTGGGACCCATTGGATAGAGGTATCATAACCGTTCAATCGATGTTCATGAAGAAGTTGAAGACATGGGTAAACAAACTCCTTGCACGTTTTTGAAGAGTACGTAATTGCTTGAATCGCACTCTTGGAGTCACTGCAGATTGTATGTCCCGATTGGTAATGTTGTGATTATTTGGAGAGCTTGATATAAGGCATATAATTCAGCTGTGAAAACAGATAGTTGGTTTGGTAACCGCCATCCCTGCTTGAGATGGTATTCCGGTATCCATACAGCGCTAGTGACCGAGGGGACGTTGTTCATGATGATGCAAGATCCATCTGTATAAATCGCTGTGGTATTTGGGTAGCAATTTTTCATTGTTGAGAGAAAGACTGAGGCTATGGCTGAGTTTGGTGCAGACTTTGGAATGTTGTCTTCGAGTTGTATTGCTGTATTAGGAGTTGTAAAAAGCCAGGGTGGAACAGGGGGAACAGTAAGTTGGGTTTCCGAGTTTTGGAGTAGAGAGAGGTCTATATTGAGGTTATTTGTAGCCCGTGTGAGGAAAGGTGAGTGATTGGTTGGGAAGCGGGGGTTATGTGGGTTAACTGTTGGGTTAATTTATGATCTGTATGGGTGTGTCTGGTGAGCAGTGGTACAGAGTGACAGATAGTTGGCACACATTATGTCTCGTCTGGTGGCTAAGCTTGTGAGGCCCGTTTCCCCGTAAAGTCCGAGGATAGGAATGGAACGCATTGCGCCACATATAAGTCGCATGGCATTGTTTTGGATGACCTCTAGGCTCTGTAGGTTAGTAGGCACAGCCGACGCATATGCTTGGCAACAATAGTCTAGTTGGCTGCGAATGTAGGTTGTAGAAACGGAGCAAGATTTTATGGTGTGCTCCCCAGGTGGTGCCAGTGAGGGCTTTAAGTATGGCGAGTCGGGAATGTGTCGTCTGTTTAAGATGTTGAATGTGTGCTTTCCAGGTAAGTGAGGGCGAGTCTAAGTGCATGCCAAGGTATTTATGTTCTTGTACGTGTTGGATGGTAGTGTTGTGTATTGTGAGGGTGGGTAGATGAACAAGTCTTTTTTAGTGAAAATTTGATAATAGGTTTTGGTAGTCCTAACTTGAAGGCCCCATTGTTGTGTCCAATCTATGAGGTGGTCAAGTGCTGTTTGCATTGTTGAGATTGTATTAGGTAAGGCATTGTCTGAATAATACAGTGTTAAGTCGTCGGCGTACGCCGAGAGGTGAACAGGATGGGTGTTAGGCAAATCTGCTAAGAATGCAGCAAAAAGAGTTGGGCTTAGTATGGAGCCTTTTGGGACACCCGTTTGTATTGGGATGTCATCGGAAAACTCGCCTTGTATATAGACTTTAGAAGTCCTGTTCGTAAGATAGGAATTTAACCATAAAAGTAATCTTCCCTGTACTCCTAAACGCGCAAGCTTTGCGAGGAGGCAAGCATGAGGAATGCTATCAAAAGCTCCTTTGAGGTCTAAGTAGAGAACAATACAAAATTTGCTGCTTCTGAGGGAGGTGCGGATTTCATGTTCAAGGCAGAGTATTTGATCGAGTGTGGAGCATTGCGGTCGAAATCCAGCTTGGAGTGACGGTATAATATGGGATGGGTCTTTTCCTGGTTTAAGGAACGGAAGAATAATACTGGTCTGCGATTGTGAGGGAATATTTCCGTGAGTCCAGCATAGGTTGTAATAGTTTAGGAGAGTACTATGTGCAGTTGATGGAAGATATTTAATGAGTTCATATGGAATTCCATCCTCTCCAGGTGCCTTGCCAAGAGGTAGGTGGGTTAAGGCTAATTGTAGCTCGCTTAAGGTGTACATGTTGTCGACGCCGGGTATGGGTAGCAGTATGGCACGGTCAATTTCTTGTCTGAGGGGGAGTTCTTGGGCATGAAAGAAGGGTGTTGAGAGGTTAACTTTAAAGACCACGCTGCCGTTAGAACCATGTAAGCATAAGGGTAGCTGCCAACATAGGAACAGCATATAAAAACAAATGAGGACTTTTAAAAAAAATATAAGTTTGCATCAAGACCAGTAACAGTTAAGAAGACTAAAATATGAAGAAATTGCGCTGGAGAAAAGACAGTTATGATCAATAGGTACAAAATACCAAAGGAAAAAGACATTCAGCAAGAACATTTGCACGCTCCTGAGGTGTTTGACAGCGTGAACCGTTGATCATCGGGAAACGAAGGGAATGTTGGGCGACCTTTAATGCTGTTAAATGTAGCCCAGACCTTTGAATGTGGCGTAGTGGGTGTGAGGCTATCACAAAATTTTGCCCATGATGCTCGCTTTGCTGACAGTATGTTTTTTTTGGCTTCTGCTGTAGCCCGCTGGAGATTAACCCAGTTCTGTAGGGAGGGTTGACGTCTTTGTTTTTGTATGGCTCGGCGGCGTAAAGCGACTGTTCGTGCACATTTCGCGTTCCACCACGGTTTAAGTGGTTTGTTGGACCTATGTCCTGAAGTTTTCTTGAGCATTTGGGTGGCTGCAGAAATTATGGCCGAGGTGATTGTGGACAGTCGCGTGTTTGGGACGATGTAGACCCAAACAAGCGTGTTTTGCACATTGCCAGTGAACATTTTCCCCTCCCCCCATTTTTTGGCAATATATTTACAGTATATTGCATACTGCCACTATGCTTTCAGAAAATACAGAAAATATTTTCTTTCAGATTTTCATAGGTGAAACCAAGAGGAAACACACTGTGATGAATTTTGAGCAAATAATAGATCATATAAAAGTACAGTAACTGAATCTGGCCTTCCTAGATAAAAACATGTAAATGTTATGCTAAAAGTGAGTGATGTAGCTATACACAAAAGAAAAGTTCTTCATGTTTCTTGGGGTTAAAAGTGTTGATGAGGCTGAAGTGGTACAGGCAGACACTTGACAAACCTAAGAAACCAGTGCCAGGATGATCAAGTAGTCAGCCTTAAAGCATGCATGTAACAAACTTTGGCCTATAGATGGTTTGTTTCCTGTCATGGACAATGATGTTGCAGAATTTGAAGGATTTGGTGCAAGGAAAATAAGTGAAAAAAAAGATGAGATTAAGGAAAGAGCTCCTTGCCTTTGTTAAGGAAATAAATGCAGTCCGGACAACTGAGAAATGAACTGATCAAAGACAATCTTGAGGAAGAAGTGGCTGCATGGATTGTGTGAGATAGACATGTTTCTACTTCACCAAGCATGACATTATCATAATGTGGTGACAGAAATTGCCAGATAAACTTGCAGGATTCAGAAGATTTATCAGAGGGAGAGGACGAAACACACAGAAGAACTAAAGCAAGAATAGAAGAGGTAGAGAAGAGCTGTGAAGTCATTTTAAAGTTCAAGCAAAAGGAGCAGAAGTAACATCAATACGAAACGCAAGATGCAGCAGCTCCACCAGCGCCGCACGATACAAGACAACAGTATTCAGCATAAGATAAGTCCTGGAACAACCACGAAAGGAAGGACAAGACAACCCTATTAGAGACATAAGTATACCTACGCAGTGACAGGAAAAACCGGAAGGACCGCCAGGAAACTTCATACTGCCGCCGAGACGAAGCACACAGACAGGAGACCAACAACGAAGACAACTGTGCACCATACAAATGATGATAGACCTCGAGTCAGAAACTCCAGACGCAAAGACTAGAGAAGAAGAACGAACCAGCCTCGAACCGGGCTGGCAAGACAGCCTAGGAGCCAGAGCTCAAGCGGATTTCAAGGAAGAAGCGAGCACCGCCTGCCGACACGCAATTTGAGAAGCAAAAAAACAGCGAAACAACATCCCGCAGGAGTGTTGCAAACGATGCACGCACTGCAGAGGGCAATGCACCAGACCCAGAGACAGCCCCCAGCGCCTCCACATCCAATATAAGCCAGCCCAAGGACAGCTCAAGGAGGGAGAAGAAATGCAGGGCCGAAGCCAACAGACCATGTGTGCACAAATCCTCTGCGACCAATGCAGCCGAAAGGGAAGGAACCTGCACATGAAGCTGCATCACACCAACATCCCACGGAAGGGCACGGGCAAACAAACACGCATTGAGGTACTCAAACTCGCTCTACAGGAAAACCCGAGCCACCGTATGAGACTCCCTCCACTCAAGCATGCAGGATCGACAGAACATATGCCAAGCCTCCAACGAGAAGAGAGGGCAGTCTGCTAACCAGGACGACTCCAGAACTTCATAACGAACCCAGTAAGGTTATACACAAAGGAACACGGATCCATTACGAAAGCGTAATCCAGGTCGCGCAGGAGGTAAGCCACAAGGGCTTCCTGCACAACATGGGATGGGAAGCAGGAAGCCGAAAACCTCCAGAAGGACGGGACTGAAGAACTCACAGGATCACGGAACCGAACCCGGGGAGGGGGTAGATGCCAAATCTAATTCGTATGAGGAAGGAGTGAAAGAGAACCCCTCTCCTTGTAACACCAAGCCTTGCTCCAAGGGTAAAAAAAAAAGCTGGGGGGGGGGGGGCAATGGGGCCCCAAGGCTCCCAAGTCAACCCCTCTCCCGCCCCAGTAACCTCACCCCGAGGACCTGGGGCCAAGCCGTCTTCCAAATCCCCCACCTCTACAGAAAAGGCAGGAGCAGCTGAAAAAGCAGGAACGAAGGGGGCATACTGGTCAGACCCAGAAGCTCCGGTTGGGGGACCAAGCTCAAATACCTCCGCCGCCACTTCGAAAGGGAACTCCTGAGACTGCCGGAGTCCCAGCACCAACTAGACCCTGCCCCGACTCTGAAACCCTCAATCATTTCGGAGGGGGAAGGAACCTGATGAACAACCCAAGGGGAAGGACAAGGAGGGGCGGACGGAACCAAAGTCGAAGCGACTCCCACCCCCAAGTCCGGGCAGTCTCGGGCCATCCGGTGAAGCAACCAACCTACCTATCGCACTGCAGCAACCTAAACCTAGCATGCAATGGCCCAGCTGCCTGCACCCTCATATCATGAGCAGTAGCTTGGGTGAACTGGAGTACGTACAAACAACAACGTTGCACGACCACGGGACAAATCTGTCACCCTGAGAAAAGGAGACAGCAACTGTCAACCTCGCACAAAGCGAGAGGGGTTTCAGGGGTTGCATCCATCGGACCAAAGAGCCCCAGCGGGGATTTCCAGGGCCTTTAGCCTTCGAAACACGCTAAGGAAAGCCCAGGCAGGGCGGTCTATCACCGAGCGGTAAAACTCCAAGGGTGGTCTATCACCGAGCAGTAAAAGACACAGCGGAGGTAAACCCCAAGGTGACTTGTGAAGGTGGCCCCAAGCCCACAGGGCAGTACAGTACTTACAGGGCACATAATGAAGGAAACCCTAGACTCATGCAGCCCAAGTAATTGAAGAATATTACTTCTGGCTCGCTCACCGATCGTAGAGACAGGAGCACGCCACAAGGCACAGCCCAGAAACAAAATCTGGAGCCAGATGTACACGACCTTGCCAGCAACACATCAGCTTAAGAACTGAAGGGTGGATCGCCGGCGTGAGGGTCTGAGGCTCCCAATTTTCCCTCCTGGGGAGGGGGGGGAAAATGTGCGCAGTGCGCAGACAGCGGTGTGGCAACATGATTACGTCATGCTAGTGTCCTAATTTTCATTTGGGGAGTTCTGTCCACACGTTTGGCTTTCGGTAGCAATATTTTCACAAGAATTGGTGTTTGTTTTGGGGTGCCTACCTTTCTTGGTGCCAGACCCAGTCGATGGCAGACACAGAATGCTCCCAACCACACGGGGGTTTCTATAGACCATTGCTTCTCGTGCTTCTCTGAGGGGGGCTAGGTTCTGGCTCGTGGTCCCCGGTAGGCAAGAACTCCATGCACATTGAATGATGCTAGAAAGTCAATATATCCAGATCAGCCAGGATAGTTCCAGGAAACCAATGGGGCTTCAACCAGTTCACCAGAAACCCAAACCTTGCAAGCTGAGAAAGAACCAGATTCTTGGCTAATTGACAAGAGTTAATTTAACCCTATTTAATTTACCTCGGCCACAAGTACCCCACATTAACCTCGTAAAAAATCTGAGGGGGCAGATTAAACCCCTAGTGCAGAACATTGAATTGGTAAAACAGATGCTGCACAAAAATACCCAACCAGCCCTGGAAACTCAAGTGAACAGACAGATGCCAGTACACATCTGTGAGGTCCAGGAACACCATCCAGGAATCTGACTGCAACACCAGGCAAACCTGAGATAAAATGGTAATGCTAAAGGTCTGACAGGGAATAAACCTGTTCAAATCCGAAAGGTCAAGAATGTAATGTAAGCCTGCTTGGGGACCAGAAACCACTGGGACAACTACCAAAGAGAGGTTATCTCCACCATGCTCAAGTTTGATCATGTCGCATTGACTACACGAGGCTGGGGTGGGGGGGGGAGGACTCTGGATCTCAAACCCCTGATCCTAAGGGAGAGGAAAAGGGGGTGGGGGGGGGATGATGGACCAACTCTATTAGAGACCTTGGCAAACTACTCAGCAGGCTACATGAATTGAGAGACTGGAACTGGCAAAATGTGCCAGACTCCCACAGCACCATCAAAGGTGCAATCTACAAAAGAGCTCGTGCAAAGACCCCTGATGAATAGCTCTTCCGTGATGTTCAACACCTTCCTAGCAAGCATTCGCAATATTGCTGGAACAAAGGTGGATGTATTCAGGAGGCAAATTTAACCCTATATATAGACAAGTTCTTGCAAGAAGTGCTGGACCAACCAAGCTGTAGTGGATATGTGGGCCTGCAGACTGTTCCAAGCAACAGCCTGTTGGACCAAGTTGAGCCTGGCCTCAGGCTGGCTCAGGAAGTAGAACAACTCCCAGAACCCTCTCCAGTTATGCTCCAGGCCTGCAGGCTATGATAGCGAGTTTCAGTGGATATAAATAGGAGCCGTCTTATATGGGCTTATAAATTCTGCAGATTCCTTAACACTTTGCCTGGGCGAGAATGCATATTGCGTCCATACATAAATCTATGGAGCTTGGGTGGGGATGCATGTTGCGTCCACAATTAAATTATTTCTTAAAAATCCATTTTTCTTCTAATCATTATAGGACTAGTTTTAATATGCACACCTTTCAATTTAGAACAATTTGATAAAAAAATGAACAATGTAGCATGAAAATTGAGGTCAGAAAACTGGAATGAGTATAAATACTGTGTGGTGGCGAGTGTCAAAAATTTAAATATTTGTTAAAATTCCATTTATTGTTCGATTATTATGAAACTAGTTCTAAAATGTGCATCTAAAATGAACGATGTAGTACAAAAATTGATGTGAGAAACCTGAAGAGTATACACATTGCGCACTCACAGGAAACACCCGGTCAACTTTGGGGTGTGCTACTGGTCACGTGCTGAGACACGCAAAGTGTTAATTCTCATTCTTATGTATTATAAATTTATCTAATTAAAGTAAACAAGGCTTACTTCAGTTTTGGGCATATGTCCAAGAAGGAAGAGCACCTTCTCCTCGTGTCCTCTTTCCATGCGTGTCACTTCTGCTCGATGGTTCTCCTTTAACCTCTCCATGTCTGCTTCCAAGAGTTCTATTGACTGAGCCACTTCATCATACTGAGCCTAAAATTAAAATGCGAGAATAAATTTTGTAATACATATTTTTTCCCAGTAACTTTCATACAATAAAATATATTACGTTTTTATTACACTTCAGCAGCACTAAATCAAAACTAACCAAAGGCCAGCTGAAGAAAGGAGAAGTTCTGAGCCAAGAAAGGTAAAATAAAGTTGAAATTATATACTGTAACCTTAACAAAACATAAGTAAATTTATACCTTATGTAATATGAATATTGATAGCTAATAAATAAATAAATAAATAAATAAATAAATAAATAAAATATATATATATATATATATATATATATATATATATATATATATATATATATATTATATATATATATATATATATATATATATATATATATATATATATATATATATATATATATATATATATATATATATATATATATATATATATATATATATATATATATATATATATATATATATATATATATATATATATATATATATATATATATATATATATATATATATATATATATATATATATATATATATATATATTATATATACACACACACACTAAATTTTGTTTTAAAACTAATACTGTAGTATGATCATTTTCACAGTCATGCCTTAAGTAATTATGTTTAAATTTTCATGTGACCTGTGCACAGTATCTACCAATGGATGATTTCTTAAACCAGATTTTTAACATGTCATTTGAAGGATAGGATTAATTTGCTATCCTTCAAATTAATTTGTATTTATTTGCCTAACCCATGACCAACTCACCCTCCGTGAATATTCAAGTTTTATTAGAATTCCCTGCAAATTGAGGAATAATTTGCAGAAAAGTCTAAAGAGAAGAGAGTGGCATTTATCAACTTACCATCTGTAGCATCTACCTTGAAAAGAGGCTAGTGTGGCCCGCTTGTCGACCAGGGGCCAGATACACGAAAGCAGTTACGCAAGCACTTACGAACGTGTACATCTTTCCTCAATCTTTGAGGGCTTTGGTTACATTTATTAAACAGTTTACAAACATAAAAACTTCCCAATCAACTGTTGTTAGTGTTATAAACAGCCTCCTGGTGTTTCCGAGCTCATTAACTGTTTAATAATTGGAAACAAAGCCCTCAAAGATTGAGAAAAGATGTACAGGTTCGTAAGTGCTTGCTTAAGTTTTTCATGAATCTGGCCCCTGGTCGACAAGCGGGCCGCGGGGGACACTAAGCCCCGGATGCACCTCAAAGTAACCTCAAGGTAAGAAATGCTGAACCAACCAGGCTGTAGTAGATACGTGGGCCTGCAGGTCACTCCAAGAAACAGCCTTTTGGACCAAGCTCTCGCAAATCAAGCCAAGCCCCAGGTTGGGCTTGGGGAGAACTACCCCTGTAGTTCCAAGACCCCATCAAGGTTACACTGAACTTGTTCAAAAATGCATACCAAGCGGTAAAAATATACTCTCCCAATCAATATTTCACCGTTATTAATGAGGCACGGTAAACCTGGGTTAATAAACATGGATTGGTAAACTCATTGCATCTTTATTCATAGATCAAGACCTAGATAATTTATTATACCCTAAATGTGGCAATACTGTACTGTACATCAGAAAAATAACAAAACCTTAAGAGGTAATCCCCCACTATGGATGATTAATATGGTTATGGAGAGGTGAAGGCAAAACTTACAGAGCAACGAACACTATAGACCAATAGTTGGGGGGCATCAAATGCCATAGAGAATATTCATCATGGAATCACAAACTAAAATTTCAGTAAATAGGAGTGAGGCAAGATCACGAAGCCTTACAAAACCCATACTGGCGGTCAGAAGACACCATTCAAGGTATCTGGCACTTATCTTGACAGACATCTCAGACTGTCATGACAGACACAGGAAGACTGTAATAGTCACCCATCATTGGGAGAGGTAGAATAAATGAAGGTTAGCAAGAGGAAAAGTGTCAGGATATGAATGGCAAAATGGTGAAAAAGGCAATGCACATAGGAGGCACATCATTTGGGTAATTGGATTCTTACCTTGCATTGGTACCAGGGATCAATGCCCCCCATGACCTCCAACAAGGAAGTCATCACTATGACCTCCAACCAGGAGGTCATCACTATGACCTCCAACCAAGAGGTCATCACTATGACCTCCTGGTTGGTGCTTTGGAACAGCATTATAAAAAAAATACCTGAATATATTTTAGGTCCATTTCCCGTGCAGACAAGGTGAGCTGGTTGTTGGTTGCTATGTCAAAAAGATAATTCATAGCACATTTTGCCTCAATCATACTCTGCATCGATTCAAATCTTTTCTTGCTGGTAAAATCTGAAAAAAAAAAGGTATTACATTATTGTATAAGAAATTTTATGTAATCAGGCAATTATAATAGAAGTAAATGCAATAATTCTGTTAATAATAAAAGAATTAATTAACTGTATATGAACAAGTTAACAATTGCTAAATAACTGCAATAAAATTTTTAATTGGCTGTAAAGTGCAGAATGTGCAGTACTCAAACGAGGACGGATCCATCACAGAGGCAGAATCCAGGTCTCGCAGGAGGTACGTTGCAAAACCTCCCGATCCTCCTTAGGCGAGATTCGAGAGGCAGAAAATCTCCAGGAGCCATGGAACCCAAGAGAATCTGGAACCAAACCTGGGAAGTAGCTGACCCCAAATCTTACTCATACGGGGAAGGGGGGTAGGAAAACCACTCCCTCTGCACAGAGGGCACCAAAACTTAAGCGGGATCAAAGGGATGAAAGGGGGCCTAAGCCCCTCAGGTCAACTCCCCCCCCCCCTGCCCCGGGATCCTCCAAACCAGGACCCGGGGCAGAGCTGTGCCCTCTACCCGTGAAGAAAAGGCAGAGTCCAGGGGAAAGGCAGGAAAGAAGGGAGGTCTGTTGGTAGGATCCAACAGGCTCAAATGCCTCCATTCCCAACTTGAATGGGGAAGCCCCCAAAGCCACCCAAGCCTCATCACCGAGTACACCCCGCCCCGACTCCATAACCCTCAGATGTTGCGGAGCTGGGAAAGGGGGAAAAAAACACACAAGCCGGGGAGCGCAGACTGAACCAAAGTCGAAGCAACTAATTCCAGCAAGTCCGGGTCCCTATAACCAAAACGGGACAGCCTCGAGGTATCCGAGCAGGCAGCCAACCAGCTTGTTACTGCAACCTAAACCGAGCAGGCAATGCAGATGCTGCCTGTATCCGAACCTCATTGTCTATAGAATGGGTAAATTGGAGCATGTGTAGATGTGTAGAGAACACATCTCACAAGACTCCAGGTCAAAGGTGTTGTTGACCCAACAGGCAGCATGACAGAGGCAAAACTGGTGACTGTCACCCTTGAGACAAAGACACAGAGCAATCTTCAAACTCACACGAGGTGAGCTGGAACTCAAAAGACGCATTCATAAGTACAAGCCATGAGAGGGTTTTCCAGGTCCCGTAGGCTAACTGCTACAGGAAGCCGAGGCAAGGTGCTGCAAAACCGGTTAAACCCAAAAGCTAACAAGGGATTGAGCTAAAAACACTAAAAGCCCTGCAACGTGTACAGTCACGGGGGCCTAGAGGAGGGCCATCAAAATAGCATAAGTGGACCAATACCCAAACAAGGCAGCCCCCCCCCCTCCTCCAGGCAAAGAAACAAAAAGAAAAGAAAAACCCTGCAAAAGTACAGTCTCTCCAGAAGGAATAGGAACACTGCCGCTGCGGAGGTTGGCAAGCTGCGCAGCACCTTGCTCCCCAAGCTGCAACAATACCACTTCCTACACAAGGCCAAATAAAGGCCATAAAACCTCAATTGGCCCCAAGGGCAGGGTAAATGCCAAGCAGCAGGAACTCCTATGGAAGTGGAGTCCCGAAGACACTATAGAAGGGGAACCCCTATCATTCAGCGGTAGTACTTACAGGGCGCTTAGGGAAGGCTACCCTAAGTGCATGCAGCCCCAGTACACTGATGTTAAGAGGTTGGGCAAACGAGCTTGCGCTAGTTTTATAACTTTTCGATCGTTTGCTCACAAGTTCTTTTGGCGAGTTTGAGGCATCAATATTTCCTTATAACAAGCAGTAGTCTGTTTTGTCTCACTGACTTTGTGGGTGTTTCTCCAGTGACGGTGTACATGATTAACATTCACCAACAGTTTGAACAGTGCCACTGATCTTTGTGCTTCATTAGAAGGGGGAAGGGGGGGAGGTCAGGTTCTGGCTCGTGGTCCCCCAGTAAACCTAAAAGAACTCTGCAACTGATGGCACCTAGTAGTTTGGCACTGTATCAGTATTATAGCTTCAGGAAGCCTCAAGGGGCTCCCCCCCCCCCAGAGAAACAATTCTTGTAAGCTACAAGCCAATATATGAAGCTAATCTCCAGCTATGGTATGTCCAACAATTTGGGGTGGACGGTCGAGCAACGATCGGCGTTCAATCCCTAACTGTCCCAGTGGTTTGGCACCATTCCTTTACCCCGTACCAATCCTTATCCTGACCCCTTCCAAGTGCTATATAGTCGTAATAACTTGTCACTGTCTCCTTATAACTCCCTCCAGCTATGGTACAGAAAACAAGTGTAGAAGAAAAGAATTACAAAAAATAATTCCCACAAAACCCCAAAGCTCCTTCATGTACATCAAGTGAACAAATAAAAGCTCCACGTACCTTCATCATCATCTACAATCTTGGTTTGAAGGTCATTAATCTGCGCAGTTCGCAGTTGCAGGTCATTTTCAAGTTCAGTAATTTTCTTCTGTACATCTGTTGCCACTTCTGGACACAGGTTCCCCCTTTTTAATTGCCGCTGTTGGAAAAGATAACTTTTGTTAGCAAGTCAAGATTCACACATTTTCTAATCAAATTTAAGAACAAAATAATAAAGCACATCAGATTTTAATCCTTAAGAATGCAGTTATTATAAGATGATTCATGAGGTAATGCAATCACATGTTGATTTTAGATATTTTCTGGTTTTTGAACCATTAGGTTAATACGAATATAATCGCTATATAGATGTAGTGGAGATTACCCAGGCCCATGAAAAAACCTGCTATATCTTCACGATTGCTTATCATGCCGATGTGGTAATCATGATGTAAAATTCCATTATATGATTTGTATACCAATTACTGCATGTTCATGTGGTTTTCACAAACCTCATATGGTTGTACATACTGTATTGTGTATAATAAGATAAAAACTAGTGAATGAGCTATTAAGTATTAAAATGATTGTAGAAACATCAAGGGTCAATGTTGGGTATTATCTGGCACATGTTGATGTGTCAACAAACCTGGTGTTATGGCATTAACAAAACAGGCTCAGACCACTACCTTCTTATCTTCAACAGCTCACAAAACCAGAAATAATGTAGATATTTAGTTTATTTCTACATTTTCCTTACATTTTGCATCCAAATAAATAATTCTATATGATTTTTTTTTTTTTTTTTTTTTTTTTTGCGTCTTGGCAGATATGTACGTACTGAATATCTACAGCCGCATTCTAGGGGTTAATACCTAAATAAAGACAAGTACATCACTGCATTTATAAATATGAATGTCTATAATGAGTACAAAATCATGGGGAAAGTACAGCAGCATTTAACAAGAAACAATTCATACCTTGTGTGAACTAATCTGGTCAGAAATAGTTTTGCGGTCCTCAACAAGGCTTTCCAAAGACAGCTTTGCCTGCTTCTTGGCAGCCACCACCTCCAGCTCTCCCTCCAACCACGACCTGACACACAACACGGCTAATTAATGTCCAGTATTCTTCACACATATATATATATATGTATATATTGCATGCAATATATTTTACTTAAGCAGGCTAATAAGCAGATTATTTGCCGACCAAACTTTCAAGGGTCTAATTTTCATCAGATACTTTATACAAATCAACACTATTAAGAAAAACAGTTAGCATAAGTAAAATATATATGCTATAAGTAAATTGCAATATTTATCACATGGTACCCCATTTATTACCTGTTGATTTTTAAGGCCAGGCTATGGGAGTAGACCGCTGTATCATGTTCTACTCCTATAGCCTGGCCTGTGACTAGTCTTTCAAGGCAACTGCCTGACCTGTGAAGCTGCTGGTCTTTTGAACAGGCTGAACTGGTAATCGCAGCAGAAACTTGTTCAGTTCTCTTGAAAGCTTCCACTGCTATTCCAGCTATATTTTTTAAATTTGTTGGCTGGACGTTCAAGTTATGGGACATGGTCTTCTCTCTGCTTTTGGAACCCCAACTTTCCATTTGATTTATTTTGTACTTTTGCATTTCCTACTTTCACCTTCACTTCAGTAAATTGTACTTTTCTTGTGCAGGTTTGGAACCTGCACTTCAAGTACCTTCCATGCATATATAATATTGACACACACACAGGGTGGCTGGTGGCTGAGTGGACAGTGCGCTAGACTCGTGAACCTAGGGACTGGGGTTCGATTCCCCTGCACCGTCGGAAAACAAATGGGCAGGTTCCTTCACCCTGATGCCCGTTACCTAGCAGTAAATAGGTACCCGGGAGCAAGACAGCTGCTACAGGGTGCTTCCTGGGGGGGAGGGGGAATAGTAACAGTTGATTGATTGACAGTTGAGAGGCGGGCCAAAAGAGCAGAGTTCAACCCCCACAAGCACAACTTGGTGAATACACACATGCCAGTCCTTCCTCTCGAGAGTTCATAAAGCCACTAAAATGTTGCACTAAATTGCCCGAACCTAAGCTAACCAAGGACCCACGAATAAAAACGGCACAGCATGCCCATTTTGCAAGCCGCTATGTACAATTTATAGGGACGGGGTGTGCATGTGCACACAGACACTGGTAAAACAGCACCTAAAGGTAGACAAATTTACAATTGATAAATCATGAGAAGTAGACATAATGCCACTGGAAATTTGTAATTAGGATGATAAAGTGATAATCATAAATGCCATCAGTTTCCCAGCATGCAACACATGGGCAACAGAGGAGCTGGACAACAAACGAGAGCCTTATAACGATCATGAGAGATTATAGTAAGAGTAAATCTTTATCTATGTAAAGATATATCACGACTGTTGGTACTCGCTGACTTCAACTTGAAAGCCATGAACTAGGAGGCCTACGAAGCAAGAACAGAGGACTCATAGATTGGTAGATTCAAAACCCTCACATCCTGGAGACGTTTATGTATCAAAATGTTCAACAAGCTACGAGAATGAGGGAAGGGGATGTTCCCTCAATGCTAGATTTGATATTCACCAGGAAGGAGGAGACATTTGGCATTCAGTACCACCCACCTTGAGTAAAAGTGACCATGTCCTTTTGGAAATAAAGTATGATATGCATTATAGTCTAGAAGAGAATGAGGAAAATGAAGCAGTTGAAAAACTTCATTTCAGGAGAGGACACTATGGGAAACTTGGAAAATTCTTTAAAAATCTTATTCAAAAGACTTTGTTAAGCAAGGAGGCAAATAAGTTATATATCAAATTTTGTGAAATATATGATGAAGGCACAAAAAATTTATTCCAAAACAGAGATACACAACTAGAAAACAGGATTGGTTCAATATAAACTGCAAGAGGGCTAGAGACCAAAATGATTAAAAAATGGAATCAATATAGGAAGAGGCCAAACTCAAACATACCAGAAGTATAAAGCAGTAAGAAACAACTTGCTTCTTGAAGGGTATAGGATCCCTAAGTTTTGAAGATTCTCTTTATCAACCCTATCATTTTGCTGGTAGTTGCAAGGTTTATTTTGTTGTGATCTCTAATTGTTAATCTTCAAACGTTATTACTCCAAGGTCTTTGACTTGGTCACCCCCTTTCTATCCAAGTGCATCTTACATTCTGTACTCTTTTTAAGGTTAGTGTTTTTCCTGTACCAAAGTAGTTAGAATATGTATATCATTACAAATTCATCATATATCTAAGAAAAAGCCCCCCCCCTCAAATGTAAGCTGCAGGGTGACTTCTGGATGTATGCCATAAAAAAGCTTGGACCTGAATTCTTAACCATTCCTTAAAGTTGATTCAACACTTCAGCCAAAACTCTACACAAAATTACCATATTCTTAAATGGTAGGGATAGTAGCCAGAGGAAGGATAAAAGCTGCAGGATATGTATAAAATCATACAAAACCAAAATATCCTCAAAATACTTTTAATGTTTGGCTACACTTCCAAATGAAGTTTACATTAATCTGAGAATACTAGGAACTCTTGGTCATGTGTACACATTGACAAAAATAATTTGATGCAATTTTATTTTATTACAACATGATTTCTGGTGTTGCATGTCATCTGTGCTGATGCTGGGGCTGTCAACTACTGTAGTAAGTTGTACCGCAAATTAAGTTTTCCAAGGCAAACCCTTGTGACTCCCTGAATCCATCTCGTTGAGATGGCTCCCAACTACTAGATCACATCAGCCGCAGAGTTCTGTTTGGCCTATTGGGGAACAAATCCCACAAGGCCAAACAGAACAAGCCCCCACCCCCTCACACAGGCAGAGAATTCAGCCAACATTGCCACCCCACCAATAAAACATTCAGAAGGTCATTTAACTAATACAGACCACTGCTGGATTCCAAGAGACTGAAGCTTCGAAACTGCCAAATGAACCCCCCAAATAATTTAAACAATGGTAGACTTTCTCAAAACTAGTGTGAGCTCATTAGCACTAACTTCCGACCATGGGGGGTTTGAGTCTAAATTTCCAAGTCTCCTCCAGCCTTCCAAGACAATTCTAGAGCAGGTGTGAAGACCAAAAACACTAACCGATAAACGTGGAAGGAAGAGAGGAAATCGGGAAGCCATCAGGGCTCATCCAGGAAGAGGCATTTCATTGCATTCAACACTTTTTTGGGGGAAGCACCTTGTGGCTACCTGAAGCTAATTACCCATGGGAGAAGAATAAAGGATTTGCAGGGAGGAACTGTGGACCTCAATTGTGTCACCAGGTAGACTAGCTTTGAAGCAATAACAAGTCACACTTCCAAGGTGATATGTTCACAAGTTGGGCGAGGTCAGGTCGTGTCAAGAAACCTTACCCTGTGCTAAGCTGATAATTGCAGATGGTTACTGGTGTCTTTCCATCATACAAGTCACTGTCCAAGTGTGATAGTAAGATAGCCAGGGCTTAGCTTCTGTTTCCCTCTTAAATACTCGAGCAGTTGTATATTGAGCATATAGAGGATGCTCACTCTACAATGATGACTGCTCTGTAGGCCAGATAATACGCAGGCCTGTCCAGGCCAGCAGGGGCCTTGACCCCTTGCCATGCCCCCTTCTCTAACCAACTTGCTCCTAACTTACTTCCTTAGACCTAACTTAGGTCTAACAACCTAAGATCTTGGCGAGTATGATTGTAAGGTGATGCATTTTGAGTTCCTAAATTATGTTGTGAAATTCTAGGGGCCATCTGCCACATGGCTCTCAATTTCTTGTGTGGTGACCGAGTCTTAATTAGTGTTGATATGGGAAAGGCATGGGAGTATAGTTATCCATCCATATTCTTTCATCATGGACATGTATAATAAATTAATAATTTCCAAGTCATTTTTAATTATCTTTAATCCAATTTCCCCAAGATCTTGAATTAATTTCTAAACTATGCAAAATGAAAACGAGAGTGATGTAGAGTGAAACTCTGAAGATTACTTAGTCAAGACTCAGACTTTTGCCACTGCTTGACAGCAATTTTTCAAGTGATGCATTAGCTAGCACAGGTCAGAAAAACCTTGAAGTGAAACAACAAAAATTCAAACTACAAAAAATTGTATGAAAATATAAAACTACCCAAATAATTATGTTTCCCAGCACTAAAATTGCAACAGATTGTTAGAAAGACGAATTTCAATACTGTACAAAACCTAAATTTTGTTAACGGTATATAACATTTATGCATAATTACTTGATACAGGTCATGTTTATTTACAAATACTCAATAAATAATGTAACTTCAGCTCTCACCTGACACGGTTCCCAGTACCAGCAATGTCTCGTGATGCAGCCCTTTTCTCAGCACCAGCCTTCTGAAGTGCCACTGCATCCTGGAAATAAACCATTTATATATACAATCACCATAAAATTAACTTTGCATCTTAAACCAATAATGGTTCAACTGCAGGCAATGAAGGCATCGCCATTACTTTCATACTTTTATATTTCCCCATATATACCAGCATCTCTCAAATAATACTGTACTGGAATTATGAACATTTCCTAACATACAAATCCTCCAGCTCGTGAAACAGTATCATGTAATATTCTTCCACACACACAATTATGTTCCCTTCTCTATAAACTGTACAGAAAAAATGCAAACAAACTCATTTTCAGCAATTACCGGTGACTATCTCAGCTCACGAGGAACAATGGAGGTAGATATAGGAGAGATGAAGACACTGACAGAGGGAACCTGGAGACAGAACCAGGGAGGACTAACAGCTTTGAACAGACACCAGGGCTGAAGTAAAGCAATGCAAGAAAATTAACTGATGCAAAGCAGTGAAAGGAAAGACAAAAATGCAAAGGATGCAACAAAAGATACAATGAAAAATTTAAAAAGTAAATAAAAATAATGGAGAATGTGACAACACAATGGGGATCAAGGACAAGCAAGGACTTGTGCAGGAGTAGCTGAAGGGTTGGAGGCAAGGCAGGCAACAAAGGTGACAATGATGCTGTCAGAACAAAGTAGGCAGTGAACAGAACCAAATTAAAAAATTTAGGGAGAAAGATTATAAACAACCTAACAGAATTAGAGGCAGCCACATGGCAAGACAGAAGAAACTAGGATATGAAGCAAAAAGAATCCTTGATAAAGTGCAGAAGAGTTGGGTAACAAGCAGGATAGTGTGTGTTCAACACGGGAATTTCCAGCTGGGGCTTGGGAACGCTGGCAAACTCTGCAGGACTTTCATACCTTAGGTACTACGGTAAATTCAACCGGAAAGTCTGTGGGAGTTTCATATCCTATCTCACACCTCAAAACCCAGTCATACTCTACAATACTAATTAATTTTATTAAGGTCTCAATATTTAATTACTTTCTTTATATTTAATTATGTTACAATAATTTGTAGCACTATGGATACTGGGATTTTTTGGGTGTTTCAATGGCAGGGAAAATTAGTGGTTTTTATCTTGGCTAATTAGGCCACTGGGGTTTCATTGTGTTTATGTTTTTTCTATATTACTCCAAATTGAAATAACAATCACTATGATGCACTTTTTAATGTTTTGCAATACACATTATGGGATCAAGTAACGTGTTTAATTCCAACAACACTTGGATGTCCCTAGAGAGTTTATGTTTTTCAAGGAGCGTGCATTGATATATATATATATATCTCTCTGTGTGTATGTGTGTGTACTCACCTAATTGTGCTTGCGGGGGTTGAGCTCTGGCTCTTTGATCCCGCCTCTCAACCGTCAATCAACTGATGTACAGATTCCTGAGCCTACTGGGCTCTGTCATATCTACATTTTAAACTGTGTATGGAGAAGTGGTGTGTGTGTTTATGTTCTTCAGATTATTCAGATTTGTACAAACTTTGGTATCATCAGATCAGTGTCATTCCTAATTAGTTTTAATAATCAAACATCTAGTCTACCAGGTAATTAACCATTCATCTAAGCACATTAACTAAGATCATTTCATCGGTGGTGTGTGTTATCAACCAGGGCTGATTTTAGGTGTAGCGTAACATTTGTAACTCCAGTGGGAACACGGGGCTCACATCTGCCTCCAAGTCTCTAGTATACAGATGCCATCTTTGAAAAAAGAATAATGGGCTCCCTAGTGGCCTCAGTACTCACAAAAAAAGAGTCATGGATAGTGCATGCAGCAGCAGCAGCTCACAACACTGCCATGCAGTTCATGCCCACAGCATCACTTAACCAGGTAACCAGGTATCAACCAGGTAACCCTTGAACTGCGCAACACATCAATAGCTGTGGTGAGTAACTGATGCAGAATTATGCAGCACAGCTATTTAAGTGTTGGAGTACCACGCAAGATTTAAACAGCCTATGGGTTAGAGGAGGATCCATAGTCTGCCCAGGAGCCATAATAAACAGACGCCATCTTTAAAAAATTCAGCTAGGCCCCAATTTTGTTGGAGGTCTCAGTTACCCGGCAGCCACCATGGCGAGTGCATGCCCCAATGCCCCATAATGCTCATCGCACAACACCATGCAATCACTGACTGATGATGAAATTAATAATGAATGAATTATTTTCTGATGGTAAGGTAAATCCTATTGATGACTGATATCCTAAAGACTATACACAGGATTCCATTGGGAGTCAAAGTGAAAAATGAGATACAGCCTGCTCCCAGGGGGAGGCCTACTCGCTCAGCACTGCCTCTTCTGCCTCCTCGCCCACTCTCTACACCAATTCGCTCCCGACCACACAGTTCTTGTGATTATTTGCAGTATGACAATATTTTTGGTGACGAGTCAGAGGAAAGTGACTCTGGTTTCAGTGACGTTGAATCAGAAAACACCTGTTGCTAGTGCCAGTGGAATGGGTGCTGTTACCAAGAGATGTTTTGTCGCATCAGCGTCTCGTCCAGTCAAGCGCCACTGCATGGAGACATGTCTCAGTTCACGCCCGTACTGTTCATACACGGGCTTCAGCTCCTGGTCCACGATGTGCAACAATTCCTCGCCGTGGTGCCATTGTAGCATCTTGCAAAACACCAGCTGTACTTGCGTGGAGTGATGGTGAAAATTTTGTTTCATTAATTCCAGCTTTTAACAATAAAGATGTTGGGATTACAGACCTTTTCCCTGATACTGGTGAGAACATGTGTGAAATGAACTTTTTTACTGCATATTTTGATGAGCCGCTCATGTAACATCTTGCTCAGGAAACGAACATCAATGCAGTTCATCTCATTGAACACGAGTTAACAGATTTTCACGAATACAGTGTTGGAAAAACACTGATCTAGGTGAAATGTATGCATTTCCTGCACTATGTCTGTTGATGAGACATTGTGTAAAACACGTCATCTCAGATTATTGGAGCAAATACCAATGTGTCCCAATACCTATGTTCGGAAAATATATGACTCGAGACAGGTTTCAGATACAGTGGTACCTCGGAATGCGATTGTCCCTGTATGCGAGGTTTTCGGAAGGCGAGGTGTATTTACTCCAAAAATTTGTCTCAGAAGGCGAGGGTTACTTCGGGAGGCGAGTTTGGACGCGAGTTTGTTGATACGCGTACAGCCGACCTAGCGCGTTCGTCGCCCCTCCGCCCCGCCGCCCCTCAGTTTATTATTGTCTGGCGCTCAGTGACTACCCCCACATCAATTCTTCTCGCGGATTTTCAGTGTTTTGTTGGATTTTTGGTGATTTGTCTATACAATTTGTTATTATATATCTCACCATGGGTCCCAAGAAAGCCAGTGGTAAGGATAAAGGCCAGAAAGCTCCTGTGAGGATGACAATAGAGGAGAAACAAGAGATCATTCGGAAGCATGAGAACGGTACACGTGTTGTTGAACTTTGTAGGCAGTACAACAAAGCCACATCAACAATATGCACTATACTTAAGAAGAAAAATAAGATTATGGGTGCTAAAGTGGCAAAAGGAGTAAGAACATTAACGGCACAAAGACCACAAATACTTGAAGAAGTGGAAAAGTTGTTATTAATTTGGATACACGACAAGGAGTTGAGGGGTGATAGTGTTTCGGAGGCCATTATTTGTGAGAAAGCCAGGGTGTTGCACGAAGACCTTCTAAAGAATACCCCTGCAACGAGTGATGCAGATAAGAAAGAGTTTAAGGCAAGCAGGGGCTGGTTTGAAAAATTTAGAAAGAGAAGTGGTATCCATAGTGTTACAAGGCATGGGGTTATGTGATGTGATTATGGAAGGGGACTCCCCTTCCAAACAGTAACTCCTCTCCTCCTCCCCCCTCCTCACCATCTTCCATACGCCTACAGCACTCGACAGCAAGGTAAGTAATAACTGGAACACAGTTTTGTAGGTTTATTTAGATGAATTAGGTAAATTAGGTATAAAAATTTAGTTTGATGTGGGGTTTTTGGGGTAGTCAGGAACGGATTAATTCATTTCCCTTTATTTCTTATGGGGAAATTAACTTCGGAATGCGAGTTTTCGGAAGGCGAGGCGTCTCCAGGAACGGATTAAACTCTTATTCTGAGGTATGCCTGTACTGTACTTCTCGGGTGTCTTCATTTGGCAGGTAATGAAGACTGGACAGAAGATGATGCACTTTGGAGAGTGAGGCACGTTCTCAATGAACTGATTGGAAAGTTCAGAGATGTCTACATTCTAGATTTCTAGATTCTCTAGAATCCCTTGTTCTTTTCAACGGACGTGTTGCCTTCAACCAGTATATTCCCTCCAAATGGCACAGATTTGGATTGAAATTCTTTGTTCTTTTTGACTGTGAAACAGGAATTGTTTTACACATGATTCTGTACTCTGCTAGCAATGTAGACATTCCCGGTAATGACCAACGTGGTTTCTCAGGTAGTGTGGTGAAGACACTGCTTGCACCATGGCTGAATAAAGGCCACATTTTATACACATAACTATTATACAAGTCCCTTGCTAACTAGGTTCTTGCTTGAAAATAGAACTGGAGTGTGTGGCACAGTAAAGGCAAGAAGGGAAATGCCAGTGTTTGACAATAATATTGAAGTTCATGACTGCCAGCTAAGAAAAACTTATTAAATGCTCTCAGGGCAGTGAGAAATTTTGCACAAGATTGAGATTTAGTCAACTAAATGCTGGTAATGACAATCCATTCCATTTAGAGTGCAGTGGGAAATTTTACACAAGATTGAGATATTAGTTAACTAAATGCTGGTAATGACATTCCCAAAGCATGGGAGACAGCCACAGCCACGGTTTGGTGTTTCTGAGTCGTGTAATGGGACCTCGTGTTCTTTTAGAAAATGAACATGTGAAAAATTAATCATATTCAGGATTCAGTGATCATGTTTATGATAAAAAACATCTTGGCTAGAATTAGCAATGTGCATAGTACAGCTGGCAAATTTTGGTTTGTTGGGTTCCCTCGCCAACTGTGGAGCCTGTGTGACTATGCTCTTCATGGATCAACGGTTACTTTATTATCACTCGCCAGAACAGCTTGTGAGAGTTTGCAATGATGCATAACATTTTACATGTTTCATTATAAATTACACAAATTACACACTTCTGCATAACTGAAGAAAAAATAAGTGAACCTATTTGAAACTATTACCGCCTGCCTAGCCTGGGCAAACTCCCCGAGTAATTTCTCAAATCGATGACGCCATTAGGAGATTTTCTCTCCATCACGGCAAAAAAACAAAATGTTCTTATGTTTTCTCCATGATCAGTGAACACATTTTAGCAATACTAAAACGATAAAAGTTATTTTTTTCTTTCATGCACACCATGAAGTTGTCACATGAAGCAGGTGTGCAGTGCAGGGGTTAATAATTTTAATAATAAAACTTTGCACAGCTTATTCTTTACCCCCTTATTTATTAATAAAAACTACAACCAAGAAAACTTTAAATTCCTTACCTTTAGTCTCTTGTTAATAGCAATAGCCTCCTCCATTTTGCGTTTCAGAACATTCTGCTGTTTGGAGTGAAGACGTTCCATTTTCACAATCTGATATTCTTTACGACGGTCTGCTTCCTTCAGCTTGGCAACCTGAGATGAAAAGATTTTCACAAATGATTTTCTGTACATTTAGTAATATTCACAAAGCATTTTCAATAAGTAAAATATTGACTTTTACTTTAAGAATCATTATTTGATAATATTGATAGTCAACTTCAGATTCTAAGTAATAGTACTAGACATTCACCAATTCTACAAAGTAATAATTTAATCTCCACCCAGCAAATGTAAGAATATTTCAGAAAGGAATTAGACAGGCTCCTGCTGGAAGTGCCAAATATGTTGATTATGGCAGTTGCTAGCAACAACTTATCAAAAGACAACACAGGAAACTTGGTGGCTAAAACAAATACTGTAGCAAACATGTAACAGAAATGACAGATTCATTGGTTGTAAACAACAAAGGGGTTAAACATTCAGCTTAAAAAACAAAGTTAGCTAAACCCGTTATCCTTCAGACAGCCGAGGTTATAAAATAGTCTGGAATGGGTTCTAGCAAGTAGTTTTAATCCTTTTGCTCTCTTTTAAAATACTCATTTATCTTAACAATCAAACTGATCTTTGGAGAACCTGCAGTGATTTAATATAGCATACCTCTCTGTCCTTCTGTGCTTTCCATACTCTGAACTTCTCACTGTCTTCCTTCATCTGCCGAATCAGCTTAACTCTGTTAGCTTTCATGGCCTGCAATATAAAACACATTAAATGCATATGCAATCTTACAAAATAATCAGCATTAACATGTTGATGTAAACAAACCGACTTTCAGGTTTGTGCCTTGCTAATGTTCAATATGCTGCAATAAACAATTTTGTAATTTAGGAATTTTCCTAATAAAACATTTGGCAAAGAATTATTATGTGTAAAAAAAAAAAAAAAAAACTGAAAGTATAAATTTAATTAACTAAAACAAATTTGTCCATATTACACAGAGTGCTTGTGTGAATAGTACCTAATATTTATTTACAAATATAGAATTCCAGTTGTCAGCACTTGGAGCAAAGTGCATGAGCAAGTTGTCGATTTCTCTTTCAGAATCCTGTGCTTGTGTTAATATCAGTTATATTGTCAGGGTTTTTGAATATGGTTCATAAAGAAGCTGTTCAGATCTTTAACTTTCATGTTGCTTATTGGAGGGTGCTAAACATAACCTCGTACTATACTGTTCTTTAAGGATGTATGAACCTTCACTTGTAAGTATAGGTCCAATACTGGTGGAGGTTTATGATTTTGCATGACAAAAGATATTTTGTATTTTTCTCTATCTCTTGCATAACTTTCTGTACCAATTTCATTTATTCAGTCTGGGATGATTGCTTCAGCTTCTGTTCCAGTTCTTCAATCTCCCAGTTTATGTTACTGTACCTTTTCTTTGTTCTTCTGTTGTGTCATCTGCATTCTCTTTCTAGGGTGGTTGTCTTTCTGACCTCCCACAAAAGAACATGTGTCAAGCAGACTTTGTATACTTCAGTAGTCAATTCTTATATTCATTGCGTGGGAGTTTTTTGTTATTCATGACGGTTTCCAATTGGATACGTTTATTTCTCCTCAGGCCAATCCTCTTATTGATCAAAGTTAATTTATAAAATTACACTTTTTGTTCAATACTTTTGGACACATTATAAGTACCAATGTTAGTTTTAACTTCAATTAGTCTGATCTGAGTATGTAGTACAATATCTTAGATTGTAATGTCCTTGATTATTTCTTCAGTATTTGTGAAAAGCAAATCAAGAGTATTTTTACTCCTAGTTGTTATCTCAGCGAGCCTGAGATTGGTTATTTTCAGGTTGATTTCTTACTCTAATGTTATTGTTTGATATTGGGTAGATGGGTAGATTGGTGTTTTCAAGGAAGATAATATTGTACACTGGGTTTGGTAGATTATCAAGGCAAATCTCTGTTTTGTGTATCTGCTCTAATTCCTCAACTGCTGCATCTGGCAGTTTGTATATTAGAATAATAATCATGTTTTTTTCCTCTACTTTGATTCCAAGTACTGCACCTCAACTACCCCCTCTGGAGAGCCATGTGCATACAAGTTTCATACCTTTAACATACAGACCTACTCCTCCAGATGATGTATTTACTGTATCCTGTCACAACATACACAGTATTAATAACTTGGGATCCAGATTCCACTACCTATGTGTACTCTCTTATGCGATTCTGAAAATGCCTCAAATATTGCATTCAACTACTAAGAAGCCAGTTATGAACCTATTTCTCAATGTTAACTTTAGGCCTTGTATGTTTGTATATATATATATAAAGGATTTTCCATATTTTGTTAATTCTGGTAGATTTTGAGTTCTCTTGCCTCTCCATCAAGGTCGTGTTGTTATTTTGGCAATGATTCATCCAATTTTAGTACTGGTGTTGTGGAGTGTGATGGTTTGTGTGGTATTGAGGGAGTGTAGTGCACATCATATACACATGTACAACATCATGTACATGTGTACATCATGATGATCATGATCAAGTTCAACCTTATACATTTCTCTATCTCCATCACTTATGGGCTACAGGAGCCATTTAAGAACTAATACCATGGTGAAGCCATAAGTGCCTTCAACACCCATCACTGTAAACAGTTCTTTCAAATATTCAGTTATTTATGATTTATAAAAATTTCTGGTCTTCCCATCAAGACATCCCAGCAGCTGTTTCTGGTGGTGGTGGTGGTGGAGGCGCGATCGTCACTAAGCGGGCAGCTGTAGTAAACCGAGGCAGGTCGGACCGCGTGACCAGGAACCACGCGCTCGGTCGACCCGAACGTGTACCAACAAATATCGGAAGTCGACGACACCATTGGATGTAGAGTCGCATTTTTCGATGAAATTTACATCGTAACTCGAAATTATCATAAGTAGGGGCAATCGTAAGTCGAGGTGCCACTGTATACAATACAGTAATTTCTGTTCAAAATTCATCACATTTTCACTAGAGTAGACTGCTAGGTCAAAACTATGGCAGATACATTACCTCTTAAATTATCATGAGTTTTGTTTTTAAGAAATGATGTGGAGGATAAGTAATCTAGGTGTAAGGGGGAAAAAAAAGGCTGTCTGTATTTGGGTAACAATGGCAGAGGCATGCGCACCGAGGTACTCTTGATGACATGTTGCCAAACTGTGTAGGCCTCTTGTCAAGGGAAGAGCAGGAGGAACATTGGAAAGTGCTCGGGACGACCATTAATCATGAACAAGGGGGGTGTGAAAGTGCTGTGACTGTACACGTTATAAAACCTACACACATTAATATTCTTACACTGCCCTTCATGAACCCCTCAATATATATATACATGTTAAACAACCCTGGCATACACCTGCACTATATTAATGTAAAACCAGCTATTCATTGCATCATTAACATTTATGCATATAATACTTCCTATATAAAAATATTTGCAACATTTAACAACTTGGCCAACTTCACTATACAAATGAAAGCTCAGTTAAAAAGAAACAAATATTCTTACTACATACCACAATTTCAGAATTAAGTTTGATGACCTTCTGTTCAGACTGATCCTTCATGCGCATTAGCTTTAGGTGTTCTTTTTGCTTCTGTTTGAGCTTTGCAATCTCTGTTTCCAGCTCTTGAACCCTCTTGCGACGCTGTTCAGAGACTCTGGAAAAATATTGAAAAGCTTATTTATTGCACAGCTGAAGAGAATGGCTAGCAACATTTTAACTTAATCCTAATTAGTAACTATTAATTATTTGTTTACATATCACATGCCAAACCTTATATTCTACCATACATTCAAAGGTTGTGATTATTAAGAATCAACCAAGAAGTTAGAATATTTTCAATTCAGGAAAACAGCATATCAGTAACAGCACGTATACATAAATACTGTACATAACTTAATCATTGCCTTTTTCCCATTTTGATGGGGAAAGGAGGTATCAGTCTGAAAAGTTCAAGTTAAGAATATAGCACAAGAAGGTTACAGACATTAAATCTGTATTTAATGCACACAACATTCCTAGAGATATCATACTCAACTGTACAATACAGTAATTTCTGTTCACCACTTGTCCATTCATTTTATCATTAACAAAATAATCTACAAACACAAATCACAATAGCGTAATATATCAAGTGAACAAATCCACAAGGGCCTTGATGAGGGTTTGAACCTATGCATGGAATGATCCCAGAAGTGCCTTAGTCAACTGTACCACGACATGGTTAAAAGAATTGCAACCTGGGGTGCTACTGCCCTCACTAGGATCCTGAAGCTTCTCAGAAGCCCAATTGGGGTTTCACACAATTCCCCCATGCACCCGGGCTCTGTCAACCAAATGTTCTTGCACTTGCACTCCACATCCCTCAACGATAGCTTTATGCCTTATCTATCCTTTATCTAACATCACACATGCTCCTTTGATTGTCCATTTCTACAACCCTAACTTTTTGCATTTATACCACACCATCATTCCATGCAGACCTCTGGTTGCATCTCCTTTATTACCATTTTGTTTTCCTAACCGGATATCTTATTGCACTGCCACTACTCCATGCAGACCTCTGGTTGCAACTATTACTGTTTATATAAACTGAACACATACAACATTTTACCATTCATATTTATTTCACACACACACAATTTCTTTTTCTCTCCGCCACATTAATATGAAACCATAAATTCATTTTTGTCTTCTCTCACACAACTAAACGAAGCTTTCAAATTACTGTATTTACCTATCTTTCTTTCACTTTCTGGCATAAAAATTATCATCTGCATACTTCTAGTTTGATATACTTCAATTATATATATTAGGCCTATATTGTAGAAATACACCTTTAACATTCTTACCTTGCCCATCCTTATGACCCCTTCAGTGTATATACAATACTTATTTTCCAGTGACATTCCACAACCCTGATATACACCGTCATTAATATGAAACCACTTATTACATCATTCTCTCTTACACATGCACAATTACCTACACAAAAATTTCCACAGAATTGACATCCAATATAGGTGTACATATTACACCCTAGGCCTACGTACACTACTCATTGTTTCTGACACTTATGTGCATATAAAGAGATATTCCCCACATTGTGTAAACTAAAGTGAAACAGCAAACAAATATACCATCTAACTTAACCATCAAAGCCCTTCATCCCCTATGTGTCAAACCAGCAAATTGCATCCTCACGAGTTCATGGACTCGATGATCCTCAAGCACAGCTTCCTCCCTGTATGCATGCCAAGGGGTTAAACCACTCTTGTACAGTTTCATTATTTACTCTGTACCATATATATTTATGAATAATCGTTACTTTTTAACTACACATGACCACATACTTATCAGACACTACTGTCAGCAGTAAAGTTGTGAGGCAAGCAGGCAGTCTAGTAAAAATGTGTGATACGGTGGTGAGAGCAAGCAGATGTCGGGCATCACTACCCATCTAAGAAATGATGTTATAGATCCCTGACTATTTTTTCTACAAGTGAAAGTGATAAGCTATACATAATAGAAGGGCAGAGAATAGAACTATGGTGCAATGTGTTAATAATAATAATAGTCTAGGAGTGGTACAAGCACTTTACCATCTGAAGGTACCTCATCATCATCATTCTCCACTTCAGCCAACCCAGCACTGTTAACGTAAAAACCTCTACCACCTAAATAGATACACACCATCAACAATAATCTTCAGCTTTGGAAGTGGATCAGAATGCCTCATTGGCAAGTACAAACTGAATAATGTACTGTAAAAAATGTTCCCTACATGACCAACCACTTATCCCTACAAAACAGGTTATCCGTACGGTCTCAGTCCCGAGGCATCCGGAAAGAATGTAGTAGTTTGCAAGTATTAGTAAAATATAACTCATTTCACAGATTTTTAAATCTACAGACATTTACCATTCAGATGATATTTTCAGATATACAATTCAAAGAACAATTACCCTTTAACTTTTAGGCATTAAACTACTGTAATCTCCTCCTACAGGTTACCCCCAAAAGCCTTGTTACGTTTCACTTCTGTCCTTAAACAGTACATATGCAATGAGAAGCATCACCATTCTCTCAAATTTTAATTTCAAATATGAACACCTTGACCTGCAAAGAAATGTTATTCATTATCCCAAACCTTTCTTAGTTAATAAAGCATACTGAACTACATTTTACTTCTCACTTCTGTTCTTATGAAATTATTCCATTCCACTCATCATTTCCTTTATCTTTGTCTCAAACTTTTCCTATCAAACTTTCCTTCCTTGAAGGAGCTTTTCCCCATCCAACTTTTGTTAATTATTTTTGTGTTCCTCTCATAACCTACAATAATATGGACCTGCCTTCACTTTGAGGCTTGGGTGGGAATGAGCCCCCAAAACAAGACTATTTTCACGATTGACAACATTTGGAGAGATCCCACACTCCAAACCTTCCCTACCCCTATAATGTTATATGTTGTGGTAACCAGGCTTTGAAAGCACATCAAAACAAACAGCCTTACTTGCTTCCTCCCGAGTGTGAAGCTGCCTTCAGTTGCTGCATGAGTTCATCCTTCTCTTTAGCCAGGATATCTATGTGCATTTCCAGGTCTTTTTTCTCTTTCTCATAGCTGGCCTTCATCACCAGAAATTGAGCATCGTTGGTTGACATTTTGTTCATCAGTTCTTCTTTCATAGCTAATTCTTTGTTTATATCCTAAGAAAAAAATAAAGAAGTGCAATACAATATAATAATATATCATAATTCTACAACACAAACTAGTACTGAGAATTTAAACAAATTTTAATTGTATTTTTGTAGATATCAATATTCACCAAATTTATTGGCCATGTACTTGATGGAGAGCATGATAAAATATTGTTTAGATATATACAACATACCACCCTTAAGGAAAGAGCTAAGACATGGGAACATTAAGCGCACACAAAAATATTGAATATTTGTAACTAAACCCCATTATCAAATTCATGAAACAAAATAAATCAACCCATTGGTGGCAATATGCAACGGCTATCAGAATTTTTTAATGACATTTAAGTAACTATTTTCAGCTTTTCAAATCTGGCAGCTTCGCTGGCAAATGGTGCCATCAGCCGTTGGACAAATCTGGCAGCTTCATTGGCAAATGGTGCCATCAGCCGTTGGACAAATCTGCCAGCTTTGTTGGCCAAGTGGCACTATCACTTGAAGACAAATATCATCAACACCACAAAGTGAGCCCAGCATTAGTGCAATGTGCATTGATGACAGCCTAATTTTGTTATTGCTTTAAATGGTGATATACAGCATTTGTTGCTGTTGCATGCATTTAAAAACTTTTGTTCTTGTGACTTCAAATATTCTCATTTTACTCACTTTGGTATTACAGTACCACATTTTTGCACCATGGTTCTACCCCAAGCATCTTCTATCTCAAGCAAAAACAGAGAACACTCAAAGATGAGAATGCTTATGAAAAAACGAGAAGAGAGAAGTTTGAAATCCTGATGAATCTCAAGGCTGGAGAGCATGCTACCACACTGTAACACCATAAACGGTTTTAATATAATCAGTGGTACAAGTAGAGTCTGTTCTCACAGAAATTGAGTGGTGGCAACAGTCTGTCAGTTCTTGACAATAGCAAAGTACACATCTTAAGTGTTAATGTTCACAGGTGACAATGTCTTTCCATCAAACAAGCCGCCTGTGAGTGTGATGGCTAGTTAGCCACTATCCTATGATGACGAGTTAAACCCCTTGGCTCCCCCATATATACTTGAGCAGTTATACATAAATGGAAGCGTTGCTAAACCAGAGAGGTTCAAGCAGCAGCAGCAGGGGAAAGTCTATAGTTCCCCAAATGGCTCCAGGCCAGGGAGCTTTGACTGTCAGCCAGATCTCCCTATCTTTTAACCAACTTGTAATTAAAGACCTTGATGAATTCAATTGTAAGGTTCGATTGAAATTATTTGTTGTATAAATTTCAGGAACAATCAGCCATATTTGCTCTCAATTTCATATGTAATGACTCCTTTTCCAAATTAATACTGATTATGGTAAAGGAAATACTGTACATTTAGTTATGAACATATACATAAATGAATAACTCTTTAAAGTCACTTTTAGTTACTTAAATCTGATAACCTAAGACCTTTGATCCATTTCTTGACTGATGAAAGCTTGAGTGAAGAGCACTGAAAATTACTAACAATTCAGACTTGAAAATTTATGTTTTACATGGTTGTAGTTTCTTACCTGTTTACACTGATTATAGAGATGCATTCCATTCCTTGTCTTGTAAACTTCTGAATGGATGCATACCTGGAGAAGGTTCTGGGAGTGCTTCTACTCCCTGAGCCCAGCCAGGGTCGACTTGTTATAAAAGTGGCAGATCTACCTTTCTACCTACCTTTATCTACTCTAATTATCCCCTACTCTAATTCTTTCTACCCACTTTTGTCCCTCTCACAAAGTCCACCCATCATCCCATCTATCCTCTACACTTTCACCTCACTCTTCCCCACTCCACCTCACTCTCTCCCCCTTTATGCTGTTCTTCATTTCCTCTCATCCATTTTTATGGTATGATTTGTTACAACACTGGGTCACCACTATAACATGAATAAATCTAGCATATGATCATCTAAAATTAATACAGATATAATCAAAGCTACTGTGGCTTGTTCAAGTCCACTAAATATAAAAATACCAGGGGCGAGACATTATGATACTGAAGAAATTTGAGGAAATGCCAACAGTATAGGGTGATGACCTGACTTGGAAACATGACTTGGAAACACTGGATTAATGTGTATAAAGGATTTGAAGATTTTACAATCATTTAACACAAGTTGAAAGGGGCAGAGCTGTTTGAAGCTAGTAAAGGATAGTTTTATGAATTCGTAAAATACCAGCATCCCCGTTAATGTTTAAATCACTGGTGAGGCTGCTAGTGCTTACAAACTAACAGCACATGCATTAATTGAAGAGAACCAACACTTTAGAAAATAAAATGGCTTCAGGTTTCAAGACAATGACAGGCTGCATTTGCTTTGTGGCAATGCTGCTGGAGATTTGAAGCGTAAGTTATGTACTACTAATTTACCTCGCTCAATCCCAGAGCCTTCAAAGGTCTTTCTCTAAGCCCCTTACCAGTTCACTGGAGAGCAAATAAGGAAGCATCGATGACTTATGTTTGATGACTGGTTTATCAACATTTTCTGTGAAGAGGTGAAAACTCATGGCTCGGAAAAAAATCGTGCTTAAAGGCTTTGCTCCTTGTTGATAATGATGTAGAACATGGTGTACATTTATCTGTCCTTTTTGAAAATGTTGAACTAATGTTCATGCCACCCAGCACCACATCTTTAATTCAGCCCATGTATTGAAGACATTTAAAGAGCACTATCTACAATTTACATTTTTTGCAGTGTCTAGAAGTTATAGATGACCCAATAAGCAATCAGTTCAAGATTTTCAGAAATCTTGACATTTACAACATCCTTGATGCAATACAAATATAATGGATGTTTGCCAAAGTGAAACAGCACAATTGTGGAATGAGTAAGTGAACAATTTCACAAGATTTGTGAACAGAAATTCGGTTGGCTGAAATACTTAACCTTGCACGATGAACTGACAGAGAAGGGCTCAGTGACACAGAAACAAACGACACCTTTCAGCTAAATCATTCATCACAAAGAACTTGACATGGAAAACAGAAAACCTAGCATAGGCAATATAACTTCAGCAGGAGAAGGATGAACGGCTGTAGGTACTAGTGTGAAGGAGCTGACATTGAACAATATGGCTCTGCTCTTGTAGTGAAATTACCCCGGTGATCCAGACAGCAATTGACAGTGACCCAAGTGTTGAGCACAGTTTGCAAGCTGGGAAAAGTTTCAAGGCTACCATTGCTCATTACAAAGTAAAAACAGTGTAAAGCAGGCAGACCACCATACAGTAATTTCTTCACTTCTGTTCTATTCACCATCACCAGTTATGTAAATATATATGGCTAAATCCAGGATTATGGCTAGCACATCAGCTCTCTCAAACTACTGCTAAATTGATTATATTTGTCACCCCAGAAGAATTCCTGGATATGTTGCTTTCCTAATCACCTGCCAGTCACAATTTAGTTGAAAAAGTTTAATACTGATGACCTGCCACTGCTTATCTCTAGGGATGAACAATGGGTTTCTGCAGGTGCACAGTGGCAAGAACCAGACACGCTAGTGAAGATCTGGGCTGAACAGCATCTGGTGCAAGTTGGAGCGATGGTGGTTTACCCACGGCCAGCTGTTGGTAACCTCGTTTCCTAACTTTAATTCTTTATTAAAAGTAATGGTTAGTTCTGATTTGCCCGAGATATTCTGGGCATTTCCTCAGTTTTTGGTTATCTTTCATTTACTCATGTAGACTTCATGAGCAAATCAAATTAAGATTCTGGATTTTGGTGGGTAGCACACATCTGGTCGAGTGGAGGTCTCAAGGATATCGGTGCTTGAAACACCAAGGAGCTATTCAAGAGCCAGCCCAGAAAAACATGTGTTTTTTCTACTGGATGATAAACAAAAATACTAACCACTGGGGTTAGTGGTTAGTATTGATTATATTAACTGATTATAGTAAATGACTAGCATATGACAATCAATTCTAGCACTAAATGGGTTAAATACAAATGTCTAACCATGCAAAAGAAAAATCACAAAAATCACATTTCAAAATTTACAAGCAAACATTTAAACCAAACCATAAACCATACAAACATTTATGAAAATTAAATATTGCATAGATTATTGAAAATGCATTAAAGTACTGTACTTACATGCAACTGTTCATTTAATTTAGCTTGACGAAGAGTGAATTCTGTTCCAAACTCTTTAGAAAAGTTATCGTCCAATTCTTCAGTACTCTCACAATCATGTCCAGTGCTGGTACTGCCATCAGTGGGCATCACGGTGCTGGTGATGTTGTGACGTGAAAGTTCATGGTCCACCATGGCCTTCTCCCCTTTACGCTGGTCACTCTGACAATATTGAAGCAAACCCAAATAAGAAAGGTTAAAAATTAACAGTTAAAAGGAAAATTATAATGGGGTACAGATACCAATAGAGTAACAGAAAAGGTAGCCACAATAGAAAGGAGACCCAGAGCAAAGAACTGAATTTTACTTGAGCGATTTTAACCAGAGAAATAGACTGATCAACAAAATATCTTCACGTTGAGAGATGAAACACGGAGAGTAAGGTTTCCTACCAGCTACCCTAGACCTGGTGTTTACCAAGAAAAATAGAGTTGAATGAAATGAAACGCCATTTTCTGGGTGACACCCAGAGGCTAACTGGAGCTTAATAGGCTAATATGTTAATGTCAGACTTTGGCATCAGTCGCGTGTATGGAGTTCTGTGGACCTACCGGGCACTACGAACCAGAACCTGCCCCCCCCCCACCCCACCTCAGAGAGGCACGGGGAGCAATGGCCTATAGAAACCCCCGTGTGGTTGGAAGCACTCTGTCTGCTATCAACCAGGTCAGGCACCCAGAAAGGTAAGCATCCCAAAACAAACCCCTATTCTGGTGAAATTATTGCTACCACAAGCCGAACAAGTGGATAGAACTCCCCTAAAAGAAACGAACAAACGAGCATGACATCTGGTTGATACCTGGTTGATGGGGTTCTGGGAGTTCTTCTACTCCCCAAACCCGGCCCAAGGCCAAGGTTGACTTGTGAGAGTTTGGTCCAATAGGCTATTGCTTGGAGCAGCCCGCAGGCCCACATACCCACCACAGCCCGATAGGTATGGTTTCCTTGGAGGAAACAATCTAGTTTCCTCTTGAAGATGTCCACGGTTGTTCCGGCAATATTTCTTATGCTCGCTGGGAGGGTGTTGAACAACCGTGAACCTCTGATGTTTATACTGTACAGTGTTCTCTGATTGTGCCTATGGCACCTCTGCTCTTCACGGGTTCTATTCTGCATTTTCTTCCATACCGTTCACTCCAATACGTTATTTTACTGTGTAGATTTGGTACTTGGCCCTCCAGTATCTTCCAAGTGTATATTATTTTATATCTCTCTCGTATTCTTTCTAGCGATTACATTTGGAGGGCTTTGAGACGATCCCAATAATTTAGGTGCTTTATCACGTCTATGCGTGCCGTATATGTTGTCTGTATTCCTTCTTTCATTTCAGATTTCAGCAATCTCTCCTGCTCTGAAGGGGAAAGTTAGTACTGAGCAGTACTCAAGATGGGACAACACAAGTGAGTTGAAGAGCGCAACCATTGTGATGGGATCCCTGGATTTGAAAGTTCTTGTAATCCATCCAATCATTTTTCTGGCTGATGCAATGTTTGCTTGGTTATGCTCCCTAAACGTTAGGTCATCAGACATCATTATTCCCAAATCCTTTACATGCTCTTTTCCTACTATGAGCACATTTGATTGTGTTTGTACCTTGTATTATGTTTAAGGTCCTCATTTTTGCCGTATCTGAGTACCTGGAATTTATCACTGTTAAACATCATGTTATTTTCTGATGCCCAGTTGAAAACTTTATTAATATCAGCTTGAAGTTTTTCAATGTCTTCAGCTGATGTAATTTTCATACTGATTTTTGTGTCATCTGCAAAGGATGATACGAAGCTGTGACTTGTATTTTTGTCTATATCTGATATGAGAATAAGGAAAAGCAGCGGTGCAAGAACTGAGCTTTTAACTGCGCTTGGACTATTTTATATGGTTGACTGTTACTCGCAGAGTCCTGTTTGACAAAACCGAGTATCCAGCGTCCTACTTTACCAGTTATTTCCATTGACTTCATTTTGTGTGCTATCACTCCATGGTCACATTTATCGAAAGACTTTGCAAAGTCCGTGTATATCACATCAATATTCTGTTTTTCTTCTAATGCCTCGGTGACTGTCGTAGTGATCAAGTAGCTGTGAGAGGCACGACCTTCTCGCTCGAAATCCATGTTGGCCTGGGTTGTGAAGGTCATTAACCTCCATGAAATTGGTGACCAGACTCTTAATCACTCTCTCAAATACTTTTATTATGTGCGACGTTACTGCAACTGGTCTATAATTCTTTGTCAATGCTTTGCTCCCTCCCTTGTGTAGAGGGGCTATGTCTGCTACATTAAGTGCATCTGATATCTCCCCCGTGTCCAAGCTCTTCCTCCACACTATACCGAGTGCCTGTGCTACTGGCACTTTGCATTTCTTTATAAATATTGAATTCCATGAATCTGGACCGGGGCCGAGTGCACGGGCATGTTTTCAATTTCTCTTTCAAAGTCTAGTACACTTGTGTTGATATCATTTATATTTACAGGGGTTTGGATATCCCACAAAGAAATTGTCTGGATCTTCCACTTTCATGTTGTTTATTGGAGTGCTAAACATGTCCTCATACTGCTTTTTTAGGATTTCACTAATTTCTTTGTCATCCTCCGTGAATGAACTTTCACTTGTACGAATAGGTCCAATACTGGCAGTGGTTTTTGCTTTTGATTTTGCATATGTGAAGAAGTATTTTGGATTTTTCTTTATTTCCTGAATTGCTTTCTGTTTTAACTGCCTTTCTTCAGTTTGATATGAGTGTTTCAATTTCCGCTCGATTTCTTCAATCTCCCTATTTAAATTATTCCTTCTTTGACGGGAAAGTCGCCTCTGCTTAAGCATTTCCGTTATATTTTTCCTTCTTTTATAGTTTTATAGTGTCGTTTGCGTTCTCTTTCTATGTTGGATCTCTTTCTGGCTTTCCTCAAAGGAACATGTTTCTAACAGACTTGATACGCTTCCGAAGTCAATTTTTCTATTCCTTCTGAAGGACTTTTATTACTTAGATCATTTCCCATGAAATGTTTGTAAGTTCCCTGTTTATTTTCTCCCAGTCTATCCTTTTATTATTAAAATTGAATTTACTGAATAACCCCTCTCGCATGATCAACATTTTAGGTCTACTGATGGTCGTTTGCACTTCAATGAGCTTGTGATCCGAGTATGTGGTATGTGATATCGTAATGTCCCTGATAATGTCTTCATTGTTCGTAAAGACTAGGTCTAGAATACTTTCATTTCTCGTTGGCTCTGATATCTGCTGGTTGAGTGAAAATTTGTCACAGAATCTAAGTACTGTAGTTCTCTAATCTGTGGTTGGTTAGGTCCCGATAGATTTCCTGGTATAATATTATTGTTTGCTATTCTCCATCTGAGACTAGGCAAGTTGATGTCACCTAGGAAGATAATATCAGGTATTGGGTTCTCCAAATTATCAAGGCTATTCTCTATTTTGTTTATCTGTTCTGCGAATTCCTCAGCCGTTACATCTGGCAGTTTGTATATTAGAATAATCACTAAGTTTATTTTCTCTATTTTTAATCCCAGTACCTCTACCACCTCACTTGTAACGTAAAGGAGCTCCAAGCATACAAGGTCTTCCCTAATACACAGACCCACTCCTCCATGTGACCTAATTTTCCTATCAAACCTGTATAAGTTATATCCTGGAATCTAGATCTTGCTGTCAAAGAATTCCCCTGCATGGGTTTCTGTGAAAGCTCCAAATACTGAAATTTGACTCCGTGAGGAGACCATTTATGAACTGAACTGTTGTTTGTTCTTGTTTTTAGTCCTTGTATGTTGGCAGAGATGAATGAGGATACTTTATTAGGGATGGTTGGACTGGGAGACTTTTTTGGCAAAGCCCATTATGCTTGGACATATTGAGTTTATTCTGACCAGTGCTGATTGTTGTAGGGCAGTTGCCTGTCAGTTTTAGTTCCCTTCTGTGATACCTGCTTGATACCTGCTTGATGGAGTTCTGGGAGTTCTTCTACTCCCCAAGCCCAGCCCGAGGCCAAGCTCAACTTGTGAGAGTTTGGTCCACCAGGCTGTTGCTTGGAGCAGCCTGCAGGCCCACATACCCAACACAGCCTGGTTGGTCCGGCACTTCTCTTAGAAAACAGTCCAGTTTTCTCTTGAAGATGTCCACAGTTGTTCCGGCAATATTTCTTACAGTCGCTGCGTGTGTAATTGTATCTAATTCTGGAATACAAGCGGATCTGGCATCCAGTTCCATACACTCCATGCGCCTACTTTTGAAGCCTACCAAACCTACTTTTGGTTTGGTATAAAAAATTTTTACTGTATAGTTTCCTCCAAATTCATTATCCTGCTCGCCACTCTTTATGTAGCGTTTTGTGCCTTTCACGTGAAAGTACAAGCAGCTGAGGTCATAGCATTTTCTGTCCTCCAGTGAGGTTTGGCACATGTCAGGATGGAAAAACCTATGTATTGATCCAAATCGACACTCGCCTTTCCTAAGCATATTTAAAATTTTGGGATGTTGGTAACTGCATTCTAATCCTTTCTTATTACCAGCATATCTATATCTGCATATGGCCTTTGCATAAAATTTGCATAAGTCTGTCCTTCTGGTCTGACTCGCCCTATTGGGGACCGTTGTAGTGTCTGTACCTATTGAGCTGTCAGTGCTGGCTGTTACACTTTCTAGTTTACTGTCATCTGCATCCAGGCATACTAAGTCAGAGTTTACAACTTCCTGAGTTTCTGCTTCAGTTTCATCCCTGACTATAGCCTCTGCCCCTGGCATATTAGAATTATTGTTGTTCCTTTCCCACTCTTTCTGGATGGCTGGTAGGCTTTCAATGAACGATGTTTTCCGTTCATGCATCATGTTATCTAGAAGATTTTTTAGGATATTCCAAGCTGGCAGGTCATTTTTACACACCCAGAGCAAGTGGCCAACTCCCAGTCCCGTGGCGTTACTCACTCCTGAACAAGCCGAATGAAATCTATTCTTACAGATATAACATTCAATTCCCGTGCCTTTGACTAAGTAGTTGTTACTGTGGCCGCAAATTTGATTGTTTACTCCCATTTTGCTTTGTTTTGTTGTATATATAGTTATATTTATAATATTATATGTATACCTTATAGTTGTAATAATATATATATATGTTTATTTGTTCTACTGTATGGGCAGTACTTATCCACGAT